TGGTTCAGATGTCTGATGCTTTGTTAACTGAAACGGAAAATGTTGAGAAACAAGTGGATTTGCCGTATCTTCCTGATTCAGTTCAAGATAAGAGACAAGATTTTGTTAGAAGGGTATTCTGATTCATATTAAAGCACTTTCAAAATAAACAATATATGGGAGATTATCTACAGTGGTGCTGAGTTATTAGTAATAACTCAGATTTGTTTGTAATTTCAGATAAGAGATAAACGTGATAAATCCCAGAAACCATTTTTGCTTTATGATGAAGCTCTTTCTGGTGACGTAGTTCAACGTTTAATTGATGATGAAAATCTTGAACCTCCGTACATTGTTGTTGGCGGTCACAAATACGCAGAACCCCAGTATGAATTTAAAACAAAATATAAAATTATAGATATGTAAATAAAATATTTTATGCGCTCATTGAATAAAATATAAATTAGGTACTACGAGCAAGTACGTAATTTCTTCGGTAAAGTTGATTGGGATGTAGTACCTGAAGAAGATGAATATCTTGAAGAAGAAGAAGAAATCATTGAACAAGACAAAACAGCGTCTGCAGGTGTACAAACTCATGATAATTGGTGCTCCTTGGTAAAGTGAAATACAGCCTGATTTTGGTATTTATAAAATAAAATATAATCTTATTTTAAGAATTTTGTTGACAAAGATGAGTCGGAAATACTTAACCCATCGAATGTTCGATTTTCTCTTATACCGGAGGCCATTCTCAAAAGAGATGATGAAACAATTCATCCCGAAAATGTTTCTGGTACTGAGGCTGTTCTACCAGGAGAAATGGAACGCATCATCAATACCACTGACGCGGAACTGTCAGTTCCTAGTAATGATAATGAACTAATATCTCTTTATGATATGGACAAAAAGGTACTTTGGAAAATATTATATATATATATATATATATATATATATATACTAGATAACTCGACAGACGTCGTCCTGTACCCACGCCTACAGTTTTTCAATATCCTATACTAATATTTACCGTTTACCTAAAAATAATATTTATTGTTTTATACATTACTTCGCTTAATTGCTTAAATGAGATTATGAGTCTCAATTCCACTATATTGGCAATTGAAGTCTTTTAAACGGTATAACAGATTCAGAAAAAATTAATATATAGTATCCGCTGTAAAAGTACAATATTACCTTGGATTTTTCCGTTGCTCCAATAATATTGCCTATAATTATAATCTCGTATCATATTTTAACTGGTATTTAGTAATTATAATACCTAAATTACATTAGTAATAATTTAATATACTTTATTACCAGGGATGCTCCTGGGGTCCTCAGCGCCCGCATGCCATTTTTTTTCTAGCGCCCTTCCTTCTCAATTATTTTACCTGTTTTAACAGTTTATTATTAAAATTATTATCATTAATTAATATTTGGCTTTTGAAACATTTTACTTATTTATTTTGGGCATTTTATGCGATTGAGTCTTTTGAGCAAATCATAAAGAACAAATTTTAGCATTTCATTATAACACTGGTACTTCATGTTGGATTATTTTAATTTAATTTTATATTATTTAAGATATCCAAAATTGCATTTTAAACTTCTCCTAATTGATATCGTAAAGGCCGAATTTTATGTATTCATCTTTTCTTTCCCATTTGTTATTATAACGTATATTAAAAATATTACAAGGATTAGTAAAAGAGCCAAGAAATATATTTCTTGAATGGTATTGAAAAAAAACTATATTGAAAATTTCATATCCGAATCTTGTATTGGCGCCATTTATTTGTACAATATTACTATATTTTTATAATCACGGTACATGCCAAAAAATTCCCTTAACAAACTTCAGAAAGATTTATCAAAATCAAATTAGAAGAAGTATATTTACATATATAATTGCAGAAGAATTTTATATATACGATAATGTATGTATGCACATTTTACTAGGATATTGCCGGACATTGTGATTCTGAAAAGGACTTGCTTTCACCTCATTCTCTTAATCTTCAGGAAGAACAAAATAAAAATAAAATTTGTGTTAACAGTAATTCTCTAGAACTGCTTCAGGTTTCAAATATACCTATTCCGCAGAAGTAAGTGTTAATATAACATACAATGTTGTTTCTTCAAATTCAAATGTTTACATTTCAGTATTAGACGTAAATCGAAATTACCTGAAACGAGAAATTCTGTTGAGATATTCAGGGAGAAATTGTCCACTTTAGGAGTTTTTGATGCGTAAGTCTATAAGACATGAAATATTTAAAGTAGTAATATTTAATATAGTAATAGTAAAACCGTTAAGTAATTAATTTGTTTAGACACCTCTCTACCGGGGGTACGGGAATGAGCACACCTAGACGGTTATCGATAAATGATAAACCACTTGTACGAGATTCACTTGAGGTCGTAGGTGAAAAGGCTTTGCAAGTAATTTATGCAATTACCTTGTGCACTAATATAGTTATATTATTATTATTATGAGAAAATTTGTTGTATAGAGCACGGGTGCGGCACAACCTGTTGGTATAATTCGTGAGTACTCAGCCATGGCGATAGGTAAACGCCTAGAGCCAATTGATTCACTGCAAACTGAGCACAGTCGTCAACTTTTGGCCAGAGCAAGCCTTTCTAAAGAATTCCAAACAATTCAACGCGGAGATTATCTAGAAAAGATTCCGATTGGGCCAATGGGATCTGGAAAAAATTTCGAAGGACAGGAATTTGGTCAAGTAAATGATATTTTATTTCTATTCATGATGCTAAATTATGTATAATCGTATATTGCATATAAAATTGTGAATTCTTGTCGTTGTTAGGAGATCTTTGTGGAACATGATAGATTTCAATTAGGCCTTGGCCCGGCCGCTACCTACATGTCTCCTGGTGAAAAAATATGCGATGAAAAACACGATATTTCTACTGAATACGAGAAATGCACCGATTTTGAATATAAGCTTCTTTTACATGGTTTGACAAAAGCAGATGTCAAGCATATCGACAATGTAAATACTTAAATAGTTACACAAAAATTATAGTTACAAATATAAATTTCAATTCGTTGCAGGTGGAGAGTTGCGATCTGAAGAAAATAGCTGAAGAGAAAGAAACTGCAAAAACAAAAAAGGTTTATTTAAAATGATTTTAATTATATTTTTATTAATTGTAATTAATTTTACACTGTAGAAATCGAAGGAGATTGATCAAACGTTCATTCTCTGGAACCCTTACGACACAGACCTAGCTGAGTATCAACGAAAGGAGTTTACGAAGGCACGTCGAGAACAAACTTACTTCGACAATCAAAAAATGTGTCCAAAACTGAGGAAAATGTTAGAAAAATCAACATCAGAGAAACAAGAAAAAGAACGAGTGCAATCAACATTGGTACAACCACCATATTGCAAATACCCACACTTGTTTGATTTAGATAAATTGGCTTATGATAGGTTATTTGGCAGGACGGAGTCAGTTACAGATCAAGCCTTAGAATTCTATAAAAAGTTACTGCCAGTGGTTCCAGCTGAACCACAGATTGAAACTAAGGTGTATATATAAATAGATATCGGATATCATAAATAAAAAGGATTATTTACCTAATTTAATAATTTTTCTATCCAATCCAGGTCGATAAAAAGGAAATAGATGAAACCTTACTAGATCTAAGTGACGAAAATCTACGAAGGGTCGTTCAAGATCTCTCAAAAGGCTCTAATAGTCACCTGCATTCAAAAGTGATAGAAGCACTAACTACCAGCCAGTTTGGTCAAGTTAGAATGCGTTCATTAATGAATTTGATAAGAAAATACCCTAGTCTGGCAGAAATGTTTGGCCGACCAACACATTCTTAATCTAATATTTAGTGCGAATTTAGTACTTTATTTCAAAATTATTTCGTTAATTATTTAAATACGCCGACCGCTACTATAATGTATTTATTAAAATATGATCTACTTTTCAAATCTCCTGATGAGTACCTATTCATTATTTCATAATTCAACTCGAATTCCGTTATCTTTTTCAAAACGATCAAACTCTGGATTTTTGTTTTTTAGTTTTTATCCTTTCATTGTGAAGAATCAGCCTATTGTTGTCATCATGTATTGAAATCTACATTAAAAGTTCAATTTTGTATTTTTATTCTAATTATTATTTAATTTTTTTAGTTGTTGGATCGAAAATCAAAATTTAACTTGTTTTAGCAATATTTTCTTATTTTCGAAAGTTTTTCATTTATTTGGTGTCGGAAATTTCAATATTAGTTATTTCTTGCGTTTTCTGTTTCAATTATACTATGATGTAAAATATAAAATAAATGATCAAGTATTACAGATCTTAAATTTAAATTATAGTTCCTGAAATATATACATTGAAAATAGCAATTTCGATAAATTTGATTTTTCTATATTATTTTTTATCATAATTTTCATTGTCAATTTATAAGATTAGTGAAGTAAATTCACAAACTTTTTAAGATGAATTTGTAAGATTAGATAAGATGTGCTGAAAGGTTTTCGAGCACAATCTTTCATATTTTAGAAATTTAGATTTACTTCAATGAACTTGCTATACTATAGTACTATAGTATACAATCTTGAAATTTTTTAAACAGAATAACACGATAATTAAATTTGTACATACATATATATTATATTTATTATCATAGAATCAAAACATTTGGCTTAAACATCTATTTATCTAATTCTTTCCTTACGATTTCACATATTTCTTTAAATGCCTCTGTATAAATACTTTACATGAATTTTATTTTCAATTGTTCATGAAATATATAAGAATGGGTATAAATTCTTATAACTCAAAATACATTTTTTCGAAACTATGGCAATAGTCAGCTGTATGCACATATATACATATATATATATATATATATATATATATATATATATATACATGCATACTTAAGTATATATTAAAAATCTGTATATGCTATATTCAAATAATTTAAATTAGGTCAGTCACAGTAACTTTACATCTATAATTCGTATCTGAAATTAATTATCTGTGATGAATAAATTATGTAACTTGTGCATCACTTGCTGTTTCATCTTCTAAATTTGGAAAATCATCCTGTTTGTTATCCAAAACTTCCATAGCACGTTCATTCCATTTACTTTCTTCTTTTTGTATCTAAAAGTTATTATTGATATGAAAATATAAATTTATTTGTATTATATCTTCAGGCATATAAAATTACCCTGTATGTGTTATATTTTACTGAAGAATCTGGTTGTCCATAGTTAGGTGGGTTTGCATATGGATCATATCCAAGAACTGATAACATGGGGGCTACATCAGCCATATCTCTGACCACATCTTGTGGAATATTACCAACCCACTTAGTTAAGGCTTCTAAATTGACTGGTTTTATTACCTGATCGGAAGACCTCTCAACTCTAAATTATATCAACAAATGATATTAAAATTATCATTCATATTAAAATAAAGTAATATAAGAATAAATTACTTTGATAAAGATACTCCATTTGGTTTATTGATAAATTCTTCATGATGTAAGACTGAATCACTCCATGGAACATCCAGAAATTGTAATATTTTTTCCATCCATAATTTGGGATGTAATACTAATTGTTCATAAGGAACCTGACAAGATTAGAATAGACTAATTCTGAATGATTTATGTATTAGAGTGCATTTTATATTAAAGAGAAATTTTTACCATCATGCAGCGATCCTTTCCAGCTTCTCTGCACTGGCCATGCATGGTTTCAATGGCTTTATTCCATTTTTGCAAGCATTGGCGATAGCTACTCAAATCAAAACCTAAAACATATATTTTGTGATAGCTTCCAGCCTGGCATCTCAATAATGATTCAATTTTTTAACCTGTTATTGTAACTTTTCGTGAAATTATTGAATGTACAGTTGCTCGACCATCACGGACCATAAACAGAAATTTAGCATTTGGAAATAAGTCCAAGACATATGTGCCCATTTTCAATGTTAATGGGTCCTTATTACAGAGTCTTTTGGCAGGCTCTCCATGTTTGACAATCACTTCCAAACAGAAGGCTGCAATAGCTGCATCCATGACCTGTTAATAGTTTGTTATAATATATCTTCCTTTCCATATGACAATAATACTCTAGAAAGCAAGGTATATACCTCCTTGGTAATGCCTGCTTCTTCTAATCGAACACTTTCTTTGGCAGATTTTAACCAATGCGAACGCATTTGAAGAATTCTGGGTATAACACGAGTTTCTTGCCCACATCTATGAATTGATCAGATCAAACAAGTCAAAATATCAATGGACTACTTCCAAAACAGATAATAATAATAATTTTCTACCTGACATCGGGATGGGCATCCAGCATAGCCCTCATTAGGGTAGTTCCTGACCTAGGAACTCCACCAATGAAAATTAAAGGCATCTCCCTCCCAGCTTGAAGAGTTAGTGCGCCTTGGTTACATGATTGCGAATGGCATACTGACGATTGAGGCTCAGAAAAAAGTCTAAGCAAACATATGGTGATTAAAAATAATGCACAGCACGCTCCGCACCAGAGGAAACCACGGCGTAGCGGGCCCCTAGTCAGTGGACCCACGCCCATGCGCTGTGGAAAATATATATTTGTTTAAATGAAAAAACACATTGGTACATAATTAAATTAGATAATCATTTGCCAACAAATTAAGACAGATTTGTATATAAATCTTATTAACAATTTATGAGGTACTTTGACTATTATTCATTAGATATTGCATATTATCAACTCTTTCATTTAATTCTTTTATTTGGTTTATTGATCCCTCTCTCCAGTATTTACATTATAATCATATCTATTTCTGGGCATTTGGTACTTATGTTTTTTTTTTAAATATTTCCACATACAAGTCCACATATTCAGTATGCTGTCGTGCTTTGTGATAGAAAGTTTTTTTTTTTTTTTTTTATTTCAATAATTATTACAACTGTTGTTAATGTTATTAACATCTAGTAATATATATAATAAATAATAACAAATTTAAATAAATAAAAGTGCAAAGGATAAAATTTACATGAAAATAATATCCGTAATATGATTTGATATAAAATATAAGCAAATAATAATAAAAATAAAATTAATAAATTTATATATTTTATATAAAATTTCTGAATAATAAAAGAATACTAGAAAAATAATAAAATATAACACAATAACAATAATAGAAATAGTAAGATAATAATAATAATAATAATAATAATAATGTTAGCGTTTACAAATTTATAAGATCGTTGGAAATTTTTCGTTTTAGCCTTGTTGGGCGCCAAGTAATTTACTCTGTGTGCCAAGTAATTTGGGTGTTCGTCTATTCTTTTTTTGTAGTTGTTTGTTTTTTGTTGAATTTCTTCATTTACGGTCATCATGTTGCTGTCCTGGTGAATCAACCAGTTGGGAACATACCTAGATGCGTTCGGTGCCTGCCGTATGATCTTATTCTGCACTCGCTGAATAATCTGTAGATTGGTTTTTTTGGCGGTGCCCCATAGTTGAATCCCATAAGACCACACTGGTTTGAAAATACATTTGTAAATAATTAGTTTGTTGTTAGTCGACAGTTCGGAACGTTTATTCAGTAGCCAGTAATGTTTTTTAAATAGTTCATCAATCTGCTGTTTTTTCTTGTTAATGTGAACTCTCCAGTTCAATTTTGTGTCTAGGTGTATTCCGAGATATTTTACGTGATAGAAAGTTGTTAAATTAAATTTAAAAACTGATCAAAGTGCCTTTGAACACCTCATTTGAAGTAAAGGTTTACAGCCTCAAAATTTTTTTAGTGACCAGAACAAATAATGGTCCGATGATGACAGGTTTGGAAAATGTGATGAATGTATAATTGGGTCCCATTCAAGCTGTAAAAGCTTTTGGCCAAAACTTACGTGAGACCTTGTAATGTATTGATGCAATACTATACCTTTCTTGCGGGTTAATTCTGACCTTTCCTATTGAAGTACATTGTTCAGTTTATCTAGCTGATGGCATGAGGCATCAGAATTAACAAATATGTTATCCTGGAAAAGCTGAAAAAAGAACAATTCCTTTCACGTTTTGCCAAATGTACTGCATCACCTTTTTCTGGGGAATTTCAGCTTTGCAACTGTTTTGAGCAGGTTCTTCTTTTTTGATTCATGGGCAAATGCTTGTATTGTATTCCTTACATCCCATTTGACTTTTCTAATGACAGTTTGCTTCAAAACCTGATAATTTTCAACACTTTTCAGGAGCGACGATACAGGTTTCTTTCTATGAGAACCATACATTGAGCTTCGAGAAATATCCCAGACCTTTTAAGTGGTCATGAACTGTTAAATTTGATAAATTTAAATTCAATGGAATTTCATGTATTGTTTTCTGCTGGTTTGCCTCAACTAATGCCTTTCTCCCATTATCATCAAATTCAAGCATACTTCTCGGACATGGTGCATCTTGGACATCAAAATACAAGAAATGAAATTTAGCAAACCCGTTTTGGCACTGTCGTGCTATCAACACGTCGTTTCCATACACATCGGTCAATTTCAGTTTGATTTACACAGTGTTTTTACCTTTTCTATAGCATAAGAGTAAAATATGTTGAAATTGCTGCTCAATTCTTTCTGTATTTAAAGTGGCACCCTCCAAAAACTACTGCGTGTAATTGATTATAATTTTTTACACACAAACCTTATAATATAAGCATTCTAATCATATAACAAATTATACGACCAAGTGTGATGGTGGGTTCATAAAAATATAGTTAAATCTTCTGTGATAATATATATATATATATATATATATATATATATATATATCATCGTCATTTCCATACACATTGGTCAATTTCAGTTTGACTTACATAGTATTTTTACTTTTTCTATAGCAAAAGAGTAAAATATGTTGAAATTGCTGCTCAATTCTTTCTGTATTCAAAGTGGCACCCTCCAAAAACTACTGCGTGTCATTGATTATAATTTTTTACACACAAACCTTATAATATAAGCATTCTAATCATATAATAATTATACGATCAAGTGTGATGGTGGGTTCATAAAAATATAGTTAAATCTTCTGTGATAATATATATATATATATATATATATATATATATATATATATATATTATGTATATTTTGGGTTATTTGGGCAATATAATATATAGGCATATATATGTGACTTAGAATATCCAAGCATAATCCATGTTGTTTATTATAACCAAAATGTGTTTTCATAACTGTCATAACCTATAATATTTAAAATTAAATTTAAGTCTTATTTATTGTGAATCAAAAAGTGTAAACATTATTATTCGTGCAAATTAGAGTAATGTTTGTGTTTTATTGAAAAGTGTATGTTTCTGTTACCAAAAATCATATGTGTACAAAATCAAAACAATGCATCAAGTTTGACATATTGTCTGTTTTAAATAGTCTACTTACTCGTGTAGTATTTGATAACTTCCTAGTAATTCCTTGATAATATTGATTGAAAAATACTAATTAACTGTTTAAATTAATAAATACATGTTTTGTTGGAAATTATAAGTGATGATACGTCATACTGAGGAATACAATCGCTTTATTAGAGAGCGTTAGGTTTGTACATAAATCTATTCCATGGCATAGTGAGGGATCTGGCAAGTTATAGAAATATAGAGTATTTTACATATAAAACATTGCTTTAACTATAGTTGTTATTCTTATTTATCTATGCTTATTTTATTTGCTTATTTATTTATGTTGTTATTGGTATTTAGCCTTGAGGCAAGTTACATGAACTTCCTGATTTGTGTAAATAATCAACTTAATCAATAAAAAATAAATTCATTTATGAGTGATTAAAAGTATTCCGAGTAGATTTATTACACATAATTGAAAACGGACGAACACTTAACGTGTATTTTTAAAAGGTAAATTTGACAAATCAATAATATTTATAATTGAACCAGTTTCCATAGGACTTTAATGGTTTAGTATGCTCATTAAGACCAAGTACTCTATCATTAGTAAATCGTCTAATTTTAATTTTCACAAACGTCAAAAAAATTACTCAACTTTGATGAATTTTGAACTACTTTTCGAATGGCGGTAATATTTCAGTAAGTTCTAAAAGACCATGATATACATCGCCAAAAAAAGTTCCATAAAAATCGGCTGAAATTTTTTTTCAACAGTTGATTACAAGAAAACGGCTCGGTAGATTCTCACCTACAACTAATCAGTGTCATTCCCAACTAATATCTTTCGAACAGTTTTTGAATTTTGGAAATCGATTCGGTAGAATGAGCTTAAATGTGGATGAAAAGTTTAACACTTTTTTTGCAATTTCAAAGAAACGGCTCGGCAGATTGTCTCAAAAAACTGACAAACTATAGTCCTCATTGAGATACATCAAATGGTTTTTAAATTTCTGAAATCGGTTCAGGCGTTTTTGAGAAAATGTCGATCAAAGGTCTAATTTTGACAAATGCCAAAAAACGATACTAATTTTTGCAAACTTTGAATAACTTTTAAAATTAAACGACTTGTCGTAGGGCCGTAATATTTTAGTATGATCTATAACACTATGGTATCTTAAAAATCATAAATATCGTATAAATTTTTTTTTAACACTTTATTGCAAGAAAACGGTCTGGCCGATCTTCACCAAAGACTAATCAGCACGACTCCTAACCAATATCTTTCGAACAGTTTTTGAATTTTCAAAATCGATTCAGAATTGCGGGCTAAAACGTGGACGATTTTTTTTTAGTTTTCTGCGATTTACAAAGAAACGGCGGGGCTGATCGTCGAGCAAATTTGATAAACGCTAGTCCTCATCGAGATACATCGAATGGCTTTTAAATTTTTGAAATCGGTCCAGCCGTTTTTGAGAAAACGTCTATTTATGATGACAAAATATATTTATTTTGTCATATATTTATGACAAAAAAGCTGTCCACATACACATACACACACACACACATACTTTTTCCAAATTTTGTCTCATCCGATTCAGATTGGCTTGAAACGTCGAGAAAACATAAAATTAGCGAATCAGATTTTTTGATAAAAACATAAACTTCTCCTTCGGTAAGTTAAAAATAATTGTTTAATGCTTTCTAGATAATAGTTTCTCTGTTAATTATTCTTAAGTAAATATAGATCATGCAGATAAATTTACCTCTATTTTTTCCATTCTTCACTCCACAGGTCTCTATTTTTTAAGTTGTATCCTATTACGAAACAAACATTTTAAATTTTAAACAATCAATATAAATCATAGTTATAAATGATTCAATTATGTTTGGCTAAATAAAGTTTCGACGGAAATTATTAATTTTGATTGAGGCACTAGATATCTGTCTACGTGGAAATAGATGAAACAGCGGATTTGACCTGAAATATGACCCGTTACTTTGTAACCATACAAGAAATAATAATGAATTCCTAATTCACATCTATTAACTGAGATTCCATTCGTATAAAAGATGCGAAGTATATCTTCAATAAGATTATTTACACTAAATTTATATATGTACTTATATAAAATTTAGATTTTTTGTTTGACGTTGAAACATATATTTGCAATGTTTATTTGCAGCCAAATAGTCGACTAGTGGTGAATGGCATCGTGCCTTAAGGCAAATTGCTGGAACTTCCCGTACTGGGAACTAAATTATTAAAAAAAACTTTGCAAATCTTTGGAAAATAAAGATTTTTAAGAAATTTTCAAATTTTTGAAGAAAATTGACTTTTTTGTATTCTTTTTTTTTTTTTTTTGAAAATTTTGAATATTTTTTTAAGCAATCGCGCTGCATAGGTGATTTGGAGTCGTCTAACATGTAAACATTGGTACGGAGCCCATATAAATGTACACAAAATTTGTACTTATTATTACAATCTTTATAAAATATCTGATAATACGATGTACATATGTCTAATGATCCTTTTTGACCGCCAAATGGCATTGTTTTTTACTTTTTTTATTGGATCTCCGGAGACGCTGGACGTGCCTTTACAAAAATTTTACCAGTGTTCATTTTGGCAATACAAGTTAAATGTTTTTTAAATTATTTAAATCGGACGCTCTTTTATCCCAAAATTGAAATACAATTTTTGGCACTTTTTGCATCTCCGAAACGGCTAGACCTGCCTTTGCCAAAAACTAATCAGCACGTCTCCTTATAAGTAGGAATCGAATTTTTTTGAATTACTCAAACCGGTTGATCCGTGTTCGCAAAATTGTTGACGAATATTTGTATCCGCACACACACACATACATCCTTTTTTTTGAGGTATGCCAAAATGTTCAGAAACCTCTGAAACGTGAAGATATGCAAAAATTTTCATCATTGATTTTTGGGCCATAACTATAACTTACCCTACGAGAAGTTAACAAATGATAAATAAATAAACAATTCTGTACGTTTCGACAATGAATATGTGTCATCATTCAGCATATTTAACAAAATCACACCAAGAAAAAACACAAAACCACCACAAAACATAATATTAAATAACACTGTTTTAAAGAAACAAATCAAATAAATATAAAATATTGAAATAAATGTTAAACAAGAATATTATATATAGTTCACCTGAGGATAAGAATGAGTGCATTATAAGAATTCTTGACACACACATACATTGTCGAAACGTGTGAAATAATTAGCTTAATTATTTATTGTTTTTTATTTTAATTATTTGGCTGCTAATAAACATTCCAATATATACATATATATATTTGATATAATTGGGAGCCAATAAGTCGAATTGAAACATGGAATAATATTTTTCCTCCTTTATTTAAACATTTCGACCCTTGAAAAGGCATTCAGAGAATCAAACCAGGAAAATACTTAATTTAAAGCATTTTTAATCAATATAAGAAACAAAACATTTATTGCAAATTTAATATAAAAAAAAAACTAACAAAAAAAAACATCCTGAATATTTTAACTGCCATTTCGGATTAATGATTGTTTTTTTCAGAATAATTAAGTAGTTATTTTTGTTACTTTTGCTAAATATTAGTTTTTTTTGTAGTTTTGGTTCGTTGCTCATATATTTTTACTAAAATATAAAACATCAATTAAAATATGTTTACTAAAATTAAATTAAAAAAGTTCTAATTGTGTGTATTGGTTTTTCCTGGTTTGACTTACTGAATGATGACACTATCAAGTGTCAAAACGTTTAAATAAAAATACAAAGTAGGAAATATTATTCAATTTTTTAATTCCGTGACCTGGCTGCTATATTATATAGCCTACGAGTATATATCGCTCACATATATATAATATACAAACAAATTATTATCGCTTATCGACGTGAACTTAAAATATAAAATTTTGTGCTCCTACAATTAGTTTACTCTATACTCTATACTTACAATAAAATTTGATGGTAATAATATCCCAAATAAGTATTTTTCACCTATTATTTCAATAAATTTCGCAGTACTGTTTTTAATATTCACAGAATCAGAACGTTTCAGATGTTTTCAATGCGTCATTTATATTTGCACAGTTGGTGGCATAACGAATTGCATTTTAGCATTTTGCACAATACATTTATTAATACATTATTCTAGAACAAAATATCATATACAAATGAACTAGTGGCCTAACTAACGATATACGAACATTTATGTTCTTATCTTAACGAGTTTTTTTTTTTTCAAGCCCGAAGGCCTTCTGTTATAGAGCAATTACAAATTATGTATTATCCTAGATGCATATAATAATGTATATTAATGACCATGTTGTTCTAATTAATGATAATAATTAATAATTGAATAGTTTGCGATTCAAATGGCGAAATATTGAAGTTTGACACAGAACGGCAGTAAAATAGGGATGATGGGATTTCAATTGGATTCCGATGTGAATTCCATTTGGATTCCATGGTCCATTAAAAATAGCAGTTAGATAAGAGATATAGAGTTAGTAATATTGTTAGTCTAAGTCAGTGTACTGATACATCATTATTAAGTATAAATATTTTTTGTTGATGAGTAAAAAGTTATCGTGACACACATTTATGTACGTTACAAACGTTACAAACTACTATTTGTTCAAACGATACAAAAACCACTATCTTATATATATATATATATATATATATATATATATATATATTATCAGTCATAAATTTAATATTTGATTTAGTATAATTATTACCCGAGAAACCTCCGTCCCGATATTCAAGTTCAACAAACACTTATCGAGTGTGCTATTTTCATAAAATGAATGGTTTTTTATAACTTATATGTATACATAGATAAAAGAAGAGTATATAATCCTATTCAAAAATAATTAAGAATTAATAAAATTGTTAAAATGATAACTATAAAATAGGCTCTTATCATAGATATATAAGTATAAATTGGCTCTTATGACCAACTTTGATAAACTATCATGATTTAACCCTTATTTGCAAACTTATAATATTGGAGGATGTTTGTTACGACCACTTTTGGTTGTATTTTTTAATGTTGGCAACACTGCCTGAAGGCATCATGTGACTGTCAATACCACTGCGAGGAGGATCGTGTTCATGAACTCAAACCTTCATATAAAGTTTCATAAAAATCATAATAAAAAATGTAACAATTCATTTCAAAAATCGGCCCGTCTGTTTCCCGGATCATCAAAAACTAATCAGCACTATTCTTTCTCGAACGGTTTTTAAATTTTCAAAATCGATTCTGGATTTTTTGCGAACATTTAAAAACGACTTGGGCAAACGTCCCGAAAACCTTTATCGAAATTCATCCAACGGCTTTTAAATTTTTGAAATCGGTTCAGCAGTTTTCGAGAAAACGTCGGCTAATGGTCAAAAATTGGCCCACATACACACATATATTTTTTCTAATTTTTGTTTAAATCAATTCAGAATAACTGGAGCTAATCGGATTTTCTGGCGAAAATATAAATTAAAAAGTGAATATAGAAAGATCAGCAGCAAAAATAACGTAAAAACAAGGTCTAAAATAAAAAATTAGAAGCTAGAAAATTTTTCAACACGAAGTATTATATCAAAAAATTATTTTTATTAAAGATAATTACAAAAACTTTAACAGGAATGTATTTTTTCATTTCGCTAAATTAAACATGCGATTGATTGAAGCATTACAGCTTATTAAAATATAATAATTATGGTTTATATTTATATAATATATTTTTTATGTATATATTTATGTCATAAATTTATAATTCATTCATGCTACTAGAGTCAGACTGCTCTGTTTGCAAAATAGTTATAGTAGATTATATCATTTATATTTCAGAAACAAATATTATACAAAATTTACAAAATTTCTATTCAAATGTACTATTTTTGATTGGGCCTATACGATTAATTGATGGTGCACTGAATAATCTAAATAAAAGTTAATTTAAGAGGTAAATAAATAAACTGATCCAAATTATAAGTTAAAAATGTGGTAAAAAGCATTAGATTTTGCTTAATTAATTTAATTAATTTTTTAATATATACTAATTTTTTTAGTACTTTTCAAAATCTTTTATAAAATTAGATCATTAAACAAATTAGTTTCAAAAATCTGCTACCACTTTTGCAAACGCATTCTCACCCAAAGCCTGGCTTTATATAAGTTTAATTTTTCATTTATGATTTTACATAAATATTTGAAATGGATTTTTATACATAGCTTTATATTATTAAATGAACACGTACAGACATATTATGACTAGAGATCTAAAATTTGCAATAAGGATTAGGATTTTTCTAATGCATTTTTTTAATAATTGATAAATAAATTTCAGTTAGTTGCATTTTTAATTGCTTAATTAATTAAATAAGTAGTATCTACAATTTTTGTAACTTATATTGTTAATAATATTTAAATAGTAAAAAACATAAATTTGAACGAGTATATATTAATTTATAGAACTTAAATTTTTAATTTATTGAGTGATGCTTTGAACTTTTTAAGAACACACTCACATATTTACATGAATAGTATAATTTCAGGATTCTTAGTCTGGTTACTAAGCACATCAAAATTAATTTTGATTCTTACCGCCAATTTTGGTTTTGGCTTTTCATTAATAGCGATTATATTAACATATTACTAGTATGTATTTTGCTAATATTAAGTAGTGGATATTATGTAAATAAAACATGAGGAAGAGTCTTTTAATTGCGTTTAGATGAATTAATCAAATACTTGCAGCAGTGTGTGAGCAAGTGTTTTTCCGAAGTAGCATTTCCATTTGATTTTCCTCCGATCTCTCCCACTTCGCGGGTATAAATATCCAAACCGTATTGGCCTTCTTCGGGAAAGCTAAGTAATTTTTTTAATTAGTAATATTTAACAAATAATGAACACATTTTATTGAAGCTATTTTGTTTACCTAATAGTAAAAGTTATTATATCATCTGTGATAGAATGAATGACAAATCTAGCCAGGCGTTTTTCTTCAACGTTATTTTTATGCAACGTCGCCATAAAATCAGTCAACGGCTTTGACATTCTGAATTGTAATTCCAATACTCGTCCAGCAAACACTAAAGCCTCCTATAAGGAACAATTTTGACCAATAAGTACATCTGTAGTGATACTAAATCAAAGAAGAAGTAAAATAGATTTTTACCTGGTGGGTTATTGGTATTAAACCAAATAATCTTGTAGCTTTGGTTGGTCCCCATTCACCGCTTGCACAATCCGGTAGAGGAACCATGACTGTTTGCAGTTCTTCACAGCATATCTTTTAGAAAACACATTGTCAGTAAAGATTTGTTCAAATGATCGAATAATATGTTCGAATTATGTTCACCTTAAATTTGCACACAGACTTAAATTTCATTGGTTCGCCGGTGAGGTACTCTTGTGGCGTTACTGCATTTGCAAATATATCTAGCAGAAAGACCCCACTACAAGGCGCGTGCACCCTGAATGACACCACATTTCCAATAACTGATTGCATGACAAATCTTTTGAGTGAAACACCTTCGTAACTGTCTCCTTCGCCGTCATAAAGTTTCAAATTGTAATGGAAAATTAGGCGTCCTTGCATATGAGATGGCATTGCTATTCTCACAGTGGCTGCCCCTAAAATTCACAGATGACATGATAACCGAGTCTATATGAATAAAAGTAAGAATTTTGGTTTTACCTGTTGCATCGGTATTCATAACAGCTTTAGTATTTGCATCACTGAAGTATAACCCGTAACGGAAGAATAATGATCTAACGAAAGGAAGTTCTTCAAAGTCTTGCAAAGAAATAGGAGTACGTAAAAGTTGCCATTCAGTCTGTGAATTGGAAAAAGTACTCATTAAATACAGATAAGTGGCAGGCCAAAGTCTAGAAATTATAATATACTTACTTGTAATGGATAAAATTCATATATGAACTCTCTAGGATCCGTGAGGAAATAATGATCATCATACTCATACCTGTAATTAAAGATTTTGCTTGTCTTGTCATAATGTTGATATAATTTATAATACGTTTGTTCCATTATTACCTAAGGCTGTCACTTTTGGCATGTTTTATACCCCTTTGGGGTGCTTCTTTGGCATTGACCAGATGTCTTGCTCCCCAATTACATTGTACGAACCTCCAAGCGCCGGCCACGTATACTGCATTCCAAGAATTTCGGAATCGGGAATCTTGGAACTTGACTCCAGGCTGGTACCCCGCGCTTTTGCTATATCTGATAAAAATATAACAGGTAATTAATAACATATCTTCGGATACGATCCATATTAATTAACGTAAACTGTAGACATTTATATTTAATTGTAGACATTTAATATTTATTCATACCCTTTAATTACAACACAGTGCAGACCGGCGTAACTGCACAACCGTTTGAAGAGAACATGGTAACTCTCTGTTCCGTGCTTGATGCCTCTTAAAAGACCCATCGGTGTATCAACTCTCAAGTCTTCATCAAAATGCATAGTATTTAAATTTTTTACAGTTATCCACCTGCAAAAAAATGAATTTAAACTTGTTGATATAGATTATCGTTTATACGATACAACTCAACGAACCCGACGAACTCCGTTTCGCCACCAGATGGTTTCGTGAGAAAGATGAAGAAATTTTTTGTTTGTTTTATATTTGAAAAGGAAAAATTTGATTTTATTACACAACAGTAATGAATTTATTTCGATTACAAAAATGAAGTGTTTTTAGTTGAACTTCTCTAAGTAAATGAAAGTGAATCCGCAAATTATCCGTTTCATTGAAGTGCTCTTTGGTAAACCACCTTTTTTGTTTTTTGGTCTGACGTTAACACAAACAAAGCGGATGGTTTTTGAACTCGGCAACGTATAACTGCCCATGTGAAAAACAATGATTTTATAAATAATCTATTTGAAATTTATCCTGCAAACACTAAGCTATTGGCCTTGCGACTTGTTAATTGTCATTGCGAACGCAAGACGAACTGGAAATTGCAATCGTTTGAAGTCAAACGAAAGACCATTCAGAATCATTGATATGCCACCAAAACGTCAGCAATTTTTGATTGAATGGTGAAATTCAGTGCGTGCACATCATATTTCTTGGCGGCAAAAATTGCTCGTTGACTTAACCAAGCATAATTCTGATAATTCTCACTAATGTCATTACTCGAATTTTTAATTACGGTGCGTGAAGTTCCAGCAATTTGCATTAGGATTAGCATTTGACATGCACCATTAATTTTCTTAGCTATAAACCTTGCGGAGCCCGAGACCTTTCCAAAGAATGCAAAAATCGGTTCGTGCGTTCTGGAGTTATATCGTCAGGAAGGAAAACTCCACTTATTTTTATATATATATATGTAGATTATTATAACAACCGTACCTGAATATGGTTCTAGCTTTTTCAATGTCCGATCCACATCTTCCTACGAGTTGTCTTACCAAATCCGTGAAAGTTTTCTGATCTTCTTGAGCCACAGAAATAGCAATTCGATCTACATCTGCAAATTCTGCGGGATCGCTATAAATCTGGAACTTACTTAAGGCAGGTGGCGCCGGTAGTGGCGCCGAACTGGGGTAAGGTGCTAACTGCTCTTCGTGGCTATCGTCAAGGTACAAACTTTCCGCCTTAAGAGATAACAATTATGGTAAATACCATACAAATTTAAGTTATATTTAGAGCATACCTGCATGTATTCGCTCCTTTTCTCGTTGATAAGATCCAACATTTCACTGGATTGTTTTTCCACTAGCGCTGCCGTTGCAGCTCTTTCGTGTTCCAACATTCGCCTGGTTAATGTTTCTTGTTTTTTATCGCGCCTGAGTGTCATATTTTTTTCCAAATCTTCACGATCTCGTTGCAGCCTTAGACTCAGGGCACTCGCTTCTTCAGGACGCTTTCTTTTAACTTGCATTTCTCGCTCAAATCGATGTGTCAACCTCTGGAGTTCTCGCTCCCATTCATCCTAGTAAAGGAAACAGGTCATTAGTTAAATTGAGATTACATACTTGATTTGGACAAATATAAATTAGTTCGTCCGGAAATTTTTAACTATCCCATCATTTTTAATTACATACCTGAATTTCATCTCTAATTCGTTTATCCTCCTCATCTCTTTGTCTGGCAAACTTTCTATACAGATCATCTTCTTCTTGGCGATGCTTCATTTCCAATTGTGTCTGCTCATCACGATCCTGAGAAATAAAGTATTTTACATCGCTTTCATAATGTCGATTGAAACTTGATTTAAAGACTTGATCTTCACGAGGAAATGGTTCTTGGAAGGAATAGAAGTACGTCGGTTTATCGCTTATTGATTTCTGAAATGGATAGGAAAATGTTTCCAGCAGGAGTGGGATTAGGATTTTGGATTATCTAGGAAGTTTATAATACTCTGCAGTTTCCAAAGTTATGCTTTTTATCTATAGTAAATAAAAAAAAATTAAACACACACACATATATCTATACATATATCTATATATAATAAATTAATAATTTTTTTATGCAAATGCAAAAATCTATTACCCTTACGTTTCGAACGGTGTCATCTTCAATAAAGCTAGAAGTTGATACAGAGCTGATAATTTGTTATAATCATAAGATATTATAAGAATAAAACTTTGATTATATAATACTTTTTGCTAAATATTTATACTATGAATTGAACTGAAATAGACGATTTGATTGACATGTATATAAAAAGTAAGGAAAATATGAAAGATTTATGTTCTAAATCAAAATTTTCAAAACGCCGGTATAGAAACATACATAAATATCAAAGCAGAATGTCGTACATGGGCGATTTTTATTGCGGAATTTCTTGATTCACATTTGACATATAATTAATACGTGAAAAGTAAAAGTAGCAGCCTCTGCAATGCCGCATGCTATTCACAGATAATTGTGTTTTCTGATCATATATATATATATATATATATATATATATATATAGATTATGTACACATACGTTCTCATAGTTAGATACCTTCCCATACGTAAATTATTTAACAAACAGGTTTCTTGCTGGAAGCCTCATTGATCGCGGACAAGGAATGTTAACTTATTTATTATTAAAATATAAAGGATTAAAATGTTGATACTATCAATTTATATTTTACATATTTATTATTATTATAATTATTATACATATTTATATATTCAGTATAACTGCTCATGAACTATTTTTTTATAATGTTAAGTTCATCAATTAAATATATTTTTTCATTTATTTGCTCAGCGATCAAAACCTAAGAATCTTACGATTTTATTGTCATGATTTTTCCTAACTACATGATTTTTTTAAGAGCAACCTAACGTGTGTTCTGGTAAATTTGGATTTAATATTTTTTTCTAATGATGGTGAGCGATAATTTTTAATTTGAAGCTGCAATACCGAAAAATGGCTGTTTTCACCTGGAAACATATTGATATTTATTTATTCAAGTGTCAACTAATATCTTGTGGTCGACGGAAGTTTATTACTGTCTAGCCAATATACTTATTACATTGAAATAATTATATAAAAATAATTAACATACCCCTAATAAAAACTAATTACTCCATCATTTTTAATTGCAGAAGTAGCTCTAATCACTACCCCCAAATGCAATGCTAATTGTATTTGAAAATTGAAATCAACTGTAACGAAATAGATCTGAATCTTTTTGCATAACTGTAGTAGATTAATATCATTTTTTTAAGAATATACAGTTAAATGATGTAGTTCATATTGAATGTAGAGCTGTAAAACTTGTTAATTTGTAATAAAGTTGCCTTCAGTATTACATCATCGATAATCGTTCGTGACGTCACATGATACGCACCCACATTACATATATATTATGCGTCCGAAACAAAATCCATTCATGCCTTATTTTGGATAAATGCGTAGGAAACTGCGGCCTTACGTAAGCCGTATCTTACGGTTATCTTATATCCACTCAGCTTCGATTCATACATCATGGAAGGTAATTAGGATCACAATATTACATATTTTTCATATTTTTTTAGCTTTCCGATAAGTTTACGTGTATCCAGAATAGTCGAATTGCTCATGTTATGTTTCCTCGAATTTTCAAGTTAATCTGAATTGTTTGGACAAAAAATTAAAATAATACGTGTGGGGGTGGGTATGTGATAAACCGAAACCGTTGACCTTTCGTCGATGTCTTCTCAAAAAGGATTAACCGACTTTAAAACTCGATTAGGACATGCATTGATTTTGAGTCAGTTTTGCAAGTCGATCAGCCACGCCGTTTCTCTAGAGTTACAGGAAACTGTAAAAATTTTAGTCCACGTTTTCGCAAAAAATCGAAAATGAATGAATATTTAAAAACCGTTCAAAAGATATTAGTTGGAAATCGTGCTGATTAGCACATGTTTGTGCAGCTATAATTAATACAATTACAGATATAAATTTATTATATCAGTTTTTAAGTAAAACTTCTCTAGACGCGACCAGACAGTAAATCTGTGAAAATGCAACGGAAGCGTTACGCCCGAACTTCTATACGGGTCGATTGTGATTAGTATGCGTCATCTAGGAGCAAATATATCGGAATGTCATTAAATTTTAAGGTTACATCGTGGTACAAATCTTTATGTAATAAAAAATGCCCGAATCAGAAGAATATTTTACCTTTTACCCTGTCCCCCGTAAATAATCATAATGAAAATAATAAAACAGATGAAACATTTGTGATGTGTACGAAACGCAAGTTTGTTGAAATAATTTTTATATCATTCGTAGTTTCTATAAATCTTTGAAGTTATTAAAATGGAAAATATTTTTTTAGACAAGATAGATATTACTGCTGCTCAAAGAATAAGATTGTATCGCCAGCGAAAAAGTAAAAAATATACAAGCAGTCGATGAATGTGTGTTAATTTTAATTACATGAAGTTCTTCAAACACAATTACATGATGAGTGAAATTGTAAATTCTCTGTGAACGAATATTATAGAATTTATTAATCAGCAATTACTTCATTTCTCTGATGAAGGTTCAAGTCCTACATGCTAATTACAAAGACAAACCGTTCATGTCATATGATGTTTTTATTTTTAACTTAAATGCAACCTCGTACAATGCAAATGTACATAGCAAAAATGTTTTACTTCAATCGCGTGTGAACCTTACGCGCATTTTTTCTTTTACTTATAGATTTATATCTAATTATAATTACCAAATAACAGTCTATAGATTTTTCCCTGGTCTTGTTGTAAGCTTTTTGGAGCTCTGTCTGCCTCAAAGCATGGGCTATATGCAGTGCACTCGCGTCAAACCTTCCGTACTGGAAATTTCCGCTGGGGCTGTCCTGATACCCACTAGGGCTGATGCATCTCTCTGGTGATAAGTTGCGATTACCTTTAAGAAATAGTGGTGAATTATAAAGTTATCAGCAATTTGGTCATCAAAATCTTTGTCTAACCTGGGGCATATCCTAAGTTTGAGATTCGAACTGGTGAGACTACATCATCAGGCGATCTAGGACTTCCCCTAATTTGTTCATTAACGAAGTTAGAACTTTTTGGTACATTTAAAGCTGATCGGATTCCGACAGAACTTCCTAAATAAATAAATGAAATCATTAATTTTAAGATAAGGAACTGTTATTTTATTCAAATTTATTTACCGTCCAAATGGCCAGGTCCGATTTTTGGCACATGTGAACTGCAATAAACTTCTTGATCTTCTTGCTTGTGTTGATTGTTGAAGTAGGTTTTTAGGGTTAATTTAGTTCCACAAGTCGCGCATTTAAAACAACCAGAATGAAAAAATGTGAAATCTTTTAATGGTCCAACCCTATCCACTTGATAAACAATATCGGCACATCGAAGACAAGTCGATTCATAAAAATTTGGACGATACATCATCATGGTGGACCACAGCAACTAGATATTCTTTAAAATAACATAATAAATTTTTAATCTAATCATTAGTATTTAGTTAAAATGATTTGTTTGAGTCTATAGAAAAAATATACTACAGCTTTTAACGAGGATTTGACATAATTTTTACGAGAAATATTAATAAATTCGAAATGTTTATAATATCTAGTTTTGTTCATAGGTTATGCACGCTCAATTGTCATCTAATTGTTGATTAATAGTTCTTTATTCTTCTGTTTTACTGGTCGATATATTAGAGTTCTGCATTATCCTAGTAAACTTATATTGAATTTGAATAATATTAGAATTATTTGCAAATAATAGCCAAGGGCACTAAGAATCGTTTTAGAAAAATCGTTTTTTTTAATATTCTATAAATTTAACTATTCAAAAATATGTGTACCAAAAAATTTTTCAAAATTTAAATTATTTTCGGAGATATAGCTCTTTGACCTTTGACCTTTGATAATCATCATAATCATAAATTGTCTTTTGCGATACGATACCCACGATTTCCCAAATTCTACTGAACAGATTTACTTGAAATTTTCACAGAGTCTTCTTTATAAACTTCTTTTTGGTATGAACTACATTCATCTCTAAATTCCGATACTTACTTTTTTTAATTTGAAAATATATATCAAAACAGGTCGTAAAAATTAATTTTTCAGACAGTCGTTATTTTATAAAAAATACTTTTTTGACTTGTCCGTAGTTCATACCATAGCGACACTATTCTAGATTAATAATAAAGTTATATTTTTTTCTTTGGATTATTTAAAAGGGTGGCCAGGTGTAATTTTTTTGAAACACCTGACTTTATGAACTTAGAATTAAAACTTTATGGCTATATTTATAATTATTATAATTTTTTTATTCTCAAAACAATAATAAAAAACTTGAAAAAAATAAAGAAAAAATATTACTTGTCTATTTTTAAGGCTTTTCAAAAATCGCATAAAATTCATGTCCTTAGACCAGAATACCCCCTTAAAGCTCTCTTTTTTTGATAGATATTATTTCGCGCTGCTGGAGGCAAATTTTAGTTAGAAAAAAGAATTGTGTGTTAAAATTTAATTATTTGTTTATTTACGCATTTTTGTTTATAAACTTAATCGTACTGGATTATGCATTCAGAAGCTATTAAAGCGATTTCTTCGTTTCTGTATCCAACTTTCGCGCAATGAATCTTGCTTGTAAATTGCAACGATAAATAGTACGCGCACTTGCTATTCATAGAATTTCTTTCGGTAACACAATTTTTCGATTTGAAATTTCTGCTTAAATTATTATTATATGACTTACTTATCATTTTTACTATATTACATTTTATACAAAATTATTTGACTTTTAAATGCATATATAATTATTATATTTAACAAATGCATATGAAAGCGTGAGTAATATTAATATACTATAAACGAATACATATTCCTAAAGTATATATTTTCTTTTATTAAAAAAAATAATGTACTTTATGTATTTATACATTACATATATTTCTTTTTGAAATACAGACTACATTTTTTAATATCAGAATATTTATTCGAAATGAGTTTTAACGAATTAAGTTCTTCTTGTTATCTTATATTGCTGAGAAAAACTTAAAAGCTGTACAGTGTTGATTAATAAATTTTGTACTTAATTTTTGCAAAAAATTTGTAAATAAAATAAAATTTTATTGCAAAAACTAATTTTTTGCAAAAATTAAGTTCAAGATTTATTAATTAACATTGCACAGCTTTTTAGTTTTTCTTTCTTGCTGCAATTACATGCGATAAATAATGTTGACGATTTTGAAACTTTGGGTACTTTTAATATCTTTTTATTAAGAAACCATTTATAAATTTTTACTAAAATTAAATAGAGTATAACAAAAATTATGTAAAATGCGCTGAAAGTCATGCTTGATAAACATTATCATATACTCTAGGTTAATATTATATATATATATATATATATATATATATATATAAGTGTAAAGTTTATTCATTGCTTTTCTTTTATTTTCTAATGTAAATGAAACAAATATATATTTTATTCATAAACAGAGAGCGAATATGCAACGATTATTTGTGTATAATATCTACACAAAAAAACTGTTATAAGTTATATTTTATTCCATTAATTCATATATTTTTGCATATTAGTTCAAGAGTTCAAAAAGATCATGTTCGTGAAAGATTTGTTGGTTATTATGGTTATTTTTTAATTTTTAGATACGGTCTATCATTAGGTTTTTCTGTAACATTGATCAATAAATCCATTTTCGCATTTTTTGCCAAAAGAACATGTAAAAGGCATTATTGAAGAATATTTGAAAATTTTAAATAAAAATGTATTCTTTATGAAAATAAAAATAAAAACTATATAATATTATATTTTATACAAAATTATATTCAATTTATATAAATTATATTTTATACAAGAACTTTATTAAAAAATATTATTTAACGTAAATATTAGGAACGCTGAAGCATATTTGAAAATAATTAGCAGCTCATTCATCGAAATAAAAAATATAGTTGAATAAAAAATGATTTCTTTTATTATTATACGTTTCGACACTTGATGAGCGTCATCAATGAGTAATCTAAAATACAATATAAGGAATTAAGAACAAATATATAAAGCGAGAAGAACTATACATACTAAGACAAAAGCATAAAACTTAAAACAATATTAAATATGAAATCATTTTTTTTTCTTTTACACACCAAGTATCGAAACCTATAATAATTAAGGAAATTATTTTTTCTTAAATATATTTCTTATTTTAATGAATGGGTTACTAATAATTTCCAAATATATTTTTATACAATTGCACAATTGTACAATTGTTTTATTGGAAACTGGCATATTGAAAAAAAATTTAGTATATATAAATTTTAATCGGTAATTTTTAGTAAAGAATGAATCGTCCTTAACACAATTCCTCGAACCTTCGAACAAAGTTTGCTATTTCACCTGTATGACGTACACACATTACACATTGAAGACACCTGCACACAAAAGTACAGCTACATTTACAAATACAAATACAAACGCAGAACGTCGAACAAAGTATTCGAGAAAAATGGAACTAAATAGACATATTTAGACATATATATATATATTATATATATATATATATATATATATATATATATATATATATGTTTATATATCTGCTTGTACAATGCATTATTTACTAATGGTGTGTTTTACTTACATGTTTTGTTCTCAGTATTCCAAAATTGTGTCAGTTACAAAAAAGCTTTACAAAATTTACACAGCAAGTAACACAAAAATCTATTCATTGTTATTAAGTGGGTTTCAAAGACATAATCGCCCACATACACTGCGTGCGTATTTACAGCAACATTTTTAATATCGAAGTCATTTTGAATCACTTAAGAACACCTGTGGATTGAGCCTCCACCACGCGAAATAACACTGAATATATATATATTATTACCGGCCGCGGTATTAAAATAAATAATTATTAATGAGTTTTATATTTACTTTTGTTAGGTCTATTTTACTGTAACAATATTTTTATATACACTTGTTCGTGGAATGAAATATTTGCGCTTTGTTGCGCTTCAGAGACGTGTTATGTGGTATGAGTTCTTTCCAATACTGTTTTTGTAGCCATTCCTACTCTAAATATTATATCTTTGCGTTCTTTCGTTTGTGGAACAAGTAAAAATCCACATTCAAGTCCACCAGTCTTCTGTACTGATTGTGAGAGAATAGTGCGTATGTTCTTGTTCTTACTAAGACACTATATTAGGCGAAATTGAAATTTATTTGAAAAAAAAAAACTGAAATACTTCTGAAAGTGAGTCACCCTACGTTGCGTTATTATTATGTTTACCATATTTACATTGCTAATTTTGCTTTTTATTCATCTAAAAATCTTTTTCACTAATATATTATATAATATACAATATCACAGATAATTTATTTTTTATGTTATATATTAGGTGTATCTACTAATACCTAATTCAAAAAGTTTTACTTTTCTGTTAACAATCTCTGCTCATTGTCTTTTGTTGTCTAAACAGCTGTATAAAATTATTATATATGAAAAACAAATTAATGAATAATCAATTACTTAAAGAGGTATTCTGGTCTAGGGACATGAATTCGCATAAAATTTTATGCAATTTTAAAAAAAGGCGGGAAAATATTTTTAATGTTTTGAGAAATAAAAAAAATAAAAATTGAAATAGTCATAAATTTTTATTTCTAGAAAGTGATGAAGTGGGGGTTTTCAAACAATTGGCAACTTATAATTGATTTCAAAATTGGCGAGGTTGATGGATGGGTTGGTGTCTCCCTGCTCAATATACTAATATTTAAATTTAAATATTTTTCTGTTAACAGATAGTATGTTCTTTATACTTGTTTATCTATGATGTTCTCAAAATCCCATTTTGCAAATGTAATGAAACTTAAAAGACATTGTTATTATAGTTCACCAAGATTGTGACAAAAATTTAAAGTGGGTAAATTTAATTGGTTTCAAGATTAACGAGGTTGACGGATTGGTGGCACAATACTAATATTTTAGTCCTCCAAATATTCTGAAAAAAATACATTTTGATTATTAATCTGCATAATTAAATTTGATATTCTCTAATTTGTAAAAAAATAGTATAAATCGGAATTTGGGATTGAGCGTTGTTCATGCTGAAGAGAAGTCTGTTAAAAAAAACTTTGTAAAAATTTTAGGTACGTTGGTCCAGTGGAAATTGGGATATCATGGGTATCGTATCAAAAAATCTTAAGTAATTGCTCAAGTAAATATTTAATAATAATAATTAATAAATTGCTTAGTTTTTGAATTGACAAAGAATGTAATATTTTGCATATTCAGTTTAAAAGCTCAGTTATTTATATTTTAGTATTTAAATTCAGCAGGAAAAACTTTTCTTCATTCTCATTTTTAACCGCAATTTATTATTATTAGCAGCAAACAATTAATAATAAAGAAATTAAACATAAATAATAAAAGAAGAGATTTGTTTTATTTTTATAACATGTACATATATAAATTATTTAAAAATAATCATTGTATTAAAAATTTATCTTCATAATGTCTTGATTGCTTAAAGTCTGTTTAACCAAAAGCCCATAAAAGTATGATTTATTACAGAAAATATAAAATATTGTGAGAAAAGATATTATATAACCTCATGTTTTTGATGAATTTTCATATGTGTTTTTAAAGCAGTCATTTGAATAAAAGCTTTTGCACAGATAGTGCATACATTAGGTTTTTCGCCCGTATGTGTCATTCGGTGATGCTTCAAAGTCTCAGCTTTAGCAAATGATCTTTCACATAAGTCACAATGAAATGTTCTTATTCCTGCATGCATTCTAAGGTGCCTATCTAGATTTCCTTTTGCAGCAAATGATCTTTCACATACATTGCATGAGTATTTTTTGATTCCAGTATGATACACCATATGCCTTCGTAATTCATGTGCTGATACAAATCTGTGTCCACATGTCGAGCAAACTTGATTCTTTATTCCTGTATGTCGTTTAGAATGCTCTTGTAATTTCGATTTCACTTTAAAAGATTTTCCGCATTGCTCACATTTGAAAGGACATTCATCAGAATGAGTAAGCATATGCCTCTGGAAAAAATACTTATATGCATTCAAACTTGAATGATATCAATTACATGATATACATATTGAAATTTCATATATATATATATAATGTATGTGTGTGTATGTATCTGCGGGTGTGAGTATAAAATTACAAAGAAAATAATATAGTCAACTTACAGCCAATCTTGAATTAGTTATAAATGCTTTTCCACAAGTTTCACATATGTATTCTTTCTGAAATAAATTAATTATTATATATTAATGTTATTCGGATTATCTTAGTCTTTTTTACTTATATTATAACTTACTATTCCTGCATTCCCAAATGTCATTTAGAGAACATTTTGTCACAAAACAAAATAATTTCTTGGTCTTCTTTGATGAGTTAACATATGTGTTTCAATCCGGACATCTTATTAAACTCTCTATGCATGTTGCACAGTAGTAAGGCTAAAAAATAAGGTTTCATTATTTTTTGATTTCTTATTTCTCTTTTTCCCAACTTCTACCTTCTTTCCCTCGTGTTTACGTAAGTGAGCTTCTAAACCTAAATTTGTTTTCATTTTACGGCTGCAAATATGACATTCCAACTTAAATTTTTCTCTGGCTTTATATCTAGTATTAGTTTTTTTGCACACGCTCTTTCTTAACCTTTTTTTAGGTTGCTTTTTTACTTCATAACTAGGATCATATTCTTCCCTATCATCTGCAGAGTCTAAAATACAAACAAAATTAAAGAATTACACTAAAATTTTAAATCCTAATTATAATGGAAAAAATATGCCTAATAATTTAAAATTCACTCAAATTTGTCTTTTACATTACCATCAGATATATTGTTACTATCTAAATTTGCTTCTGGTTCTTCAAGCTTTAATTCTAATGGATAATCTGGTATCTCTTGCTTAACGTTGATTACCTACAAACAGATAAATTTCTATATAAGATGCCTTTTATAAATCAAAAATAATTTCAACTGTACGTTTCCATATACCTGCTGTCTTAAGGTCACATCATTTCGAATACACTGCTCCCTAAATTCTAGGACTGATTCTAATTGTGCAACACATTTTTTACATACTTTATGTGGTAATCCATCATTTTCGTTTAGCTAAAATTAGGTATATAAATATTTAGTTTGTATGAATTTATTAAAACATCAAATTGGAATAAGTACATTACTGAGAGTTTAAAATTTGCATGATTTATGATTTAATACAGCAATTTTGCATTATGATTTTGTTTCGAGTTTGGCGAATGTCTCTACTTTATAATTTTTAAATGGCCTTAATAGCATACCTCAATAGAAGTAGTAAGAGAATAAATGTAAGACAGTTTGTCATCCAAGAGAGTTTTCATATCACACTCATTGTTGCACAAGCAAGCTCTACACACGTTCTCAAATAAAGGCAACATGTTGATATTGAGTAATTTATAATATATAACAATTTTAATTCCTCATTAGGGTTTTGTTGGGCACATCCAGCCGTAATTGAAATTATTAACAGTGCCACATTGCTGTAATACAATTATTCTATAATTTACGTATGTAAGTTAATGAAATATTTGTTGTATTTACCATTAGTTACAATTATATCTTCAGGACATAGTTTTGTGTTTAATTGATTATTTATTTGTTTATTCATATGCAAGCCTTGATCAATAATAAAACATTATTACAAGCAATTGTCAAACATAATAAAACAGCAGAAATGCTATACATGCATAATTTATTATCATATTATTTTATGATAATAAATAATAATTAATTGGAGAGTAAAATTTTCAGTTTATATCAATTTTAAAAGATTTTAGCTGTGTTTTATTAAAATTCTTTAGTTGTTTTTATTTTGGCTGGTATACTTGTGTCGATCCGTCACCAACAATGCACATAGAGACCATACGTCAGAGGAATTCTGAGATTGGACATATTAACAATGCACAAATAGTGTCATAACTGTCATTCTATGGCATATGTCATATACTCTTTTCTTATCTATGGGTGTCATTGTCACATTAAAACTAAACTTTATTTATTTAATTTAATATTTATTGTTCGATGCTGTAATAAAATTTATGAAATAAATAGAAAAAGTAATATTTGATTAAATTTATAAAGTAAAATCCAGTAAGCATGACAACGTGCATCCTTTACGCATAAAATCACACATGTAGATTCAGCTTGAATTGTTGATTGACAGTTATTTGCGAAACAAAACATTTCCTGTTCCTTCATTTAACAAATTTGTTCTTAAATTTTATTACAATCTTCTTATAAAAATGGGGTTTTTGAGTATTCTAAAAAAAATGAAACAAAAAGAAAAGGAAATGCGTATACTGATGCTGTATCCTTTTCCAAAAGAAATTTTAGGCAATATAAATTTTACTGAACCGTATGACGACCTTATCTAGAATTAGTGGTCTTGATAATGCAGGAAAAACGACGATATTGAAAAGATTCAATGGCGAAGCAATAGACACAATATCACCTACATTAGGCTTCAACATAAAGACTTTAGATCATCGGGATTATAAGCTGAATATGTGGGATGTGGGGGGACAAAAATCGTTACGGTTTGTTAATTTTAATAAACAAAATTCTTTCACAAATTTAATTCAATATACTCTCGTAGATCATATTGGAGAAATTATTTTGAATGCACAGATGGTCTTGTATGGGTGGTTGATTGTGCTGATAAAAGACGTATGGAATCTTGTCGAGAAGAGTTACATATTTTATTAGAAGAAGAACGACTGGCAGGTGCTACATTATTAATTTTAGCAAATAAACAAGATTTACCTGGTGCGTTGAGTGCACATGAAATATCTGAGGTAGATTATTACTTGAATTATGATGTTATTTTTTTGCTTTATTTAAAAATATACTTGGTGCGTTGAGTGCACATGAAATATCTGAGGTAGATTATTACTTGAATTATATGTTATTTTTTTGCTTTATTTAAAAATATACTTTGTATTATAGTTTCTCAATCTTAGTGGTATAACAACACATCATTGGAATGTTTTTGCCTGCAGTGCTGTTACTGGCAAAAATTTACTTACTGCAATCAATTGGCTCATTGATGATATAGCTGCTCGAATATTTACTTTAGATTGATTTTAATATTTATATTACATTTTTATTATTTATTGCCTCTGAAATACGCACTTTGACAGTGCATTTAGAAGAGGATAACATAATTTGTGTAGCTGTGAATCATCTGTGAATGTGAAACATGATACATAAGTAAACTATTATTATCATTATGATACATTTTCTTTAAGTTTACATATGTTTAGTCATTTGCCAATATAGTAAAAGCTTTTCTTATTAACTAAAACACGAATTGTTATTGAATAAAATATTCTTTTTATTGATAATGCACTGCTATATTAACTTCTCATTGTGTCTAGTATCAAACCATATAAGGTATTTTCTTATCATGAACGCTTTAGCAAACGCAATTAATTATTATTATCAGTTAAGGAATTAGTAATAATAATATTTTATATAAATGATTTATATATTTATATTTATATATTTTGTATACAAATATTTTATCTAATACAGATTGAAAATGAAAATAATCTTTACAATATAACATTCTATTATTACAATATCATCATTTTTTTTCTAAAAATAGGAAAATTATAATTTTAAATCAATGGTCATTTATTTTAGGTCTAAATTTTACCTAATATAGATGAAAAGAAAAATAATCTCTACAATATAACATTCTATTATTCTAATATTATCATCTTCTTCTAAAAATAAGGAAATTATAATTCTAAACCAATGTTAATTTATTTTAGGTCTAAATCTATTGTATAATGTTACAAAAATGAATATATTTTTCTATTTATTTTACTTTGTTTCTGAGGAAAAAATGAGATTTTTTCAAACTAAATTTAATTTTGTTTCTCAGCTTTTGGTAAAACAAATAAACAATTAACAAGTGCGTCTATTAAATTTCTCGAAAACTAGTGATTAATTTGATCGAATTGGTTGACGTTATTTGATAACATTGATGGCCATCGAAATATCGCAGAATGAACAACAATGCTAAAAATGTATAATTTCCTTCAAATCTCTCTATTTTTGTGATTTCACAAATTACACAAAAATATGTTATAACATCCACTCGGTCTAGTTGTTTTCGAAAAAAAAATTCTACGACATAACTTCTGATGGTTTAACGTATTTTCATATTTTAGTAAAATATTAAAAAATCATTATGATATGTGGAATAAAAAAAATTCCGCTACATATAATCAAAATTCAAGTTACTTATAACTTAAATTATAAGGTTCAACAAAATGTGTATACATTAATGGTTTTCTTAAAGGTTCAAGCAAAATTCGCAAAAATATTAAATTTGAAATATTTTTTTTTACAAAAACAATTATTTTGTCAAAACAAGCAGAAAGTTTTTTGAATCATTTAAATCGGATGCTTAGTTCTCTCAAAAACTGCTTTTTTTGCACATTTAGCTCGCTATCTCCAAAACGGCTGAATCTGCCTTTGCCAAAATCTAATCACCACTTCTGTCCGTAATTATAAATTGAATATTTTTTAAATCATTCAAATCGGATGTTCCATCTTCTCAAAAACTCGATTTCTATTTTCCGCCATCTTTTCTCCGTTTCTCCAAAACGGCTGGACCTGTCTTTGCCAAAAACTAATCAGTACATCTCCCTATCAATAGAGATCGAATGTTTTTTTTGAACCATTCAAAAAAGTTGATTCGTGCGCACGAAAACGTGGACGAAAAATTGTATCAATACGTACATACACACACAAACACATCCATTTTTTCAGTGGTATGCCAAAATGTTCAGAAACCTTCAAAACGTGAAAAAATGTAAAAAATTTCAATTTCGATTTTTGGACGATTACAATAAAATTGAATTGTCTATGATATTGTCTAACATCATAATGCTCTACAGCAACTCGGTGTTCTTTAAAATTGCTCTCAAAAATTAACGAATATAATTCAACAGTCAGTAGCTTTATAAAGATATAAGAATATATTCCTGGTGCATTAGTTTATTTGATTTATTGTGACTTTTAAACTGCTTATACGATCTTAAGAGCATATTCGGCGAATTTATGTAAAATTAAATTATCTATAATATTGTATAACATTATAATGCATTATATCTACTCAGTATACTTTAAAATCGCGAGTATAAATAGACAAAATAATCTCAACATTCACAAACTTGAAGAGGGAATTAGTAGCAAACTCTCGGTGCATTTATCTAATAAATGTATTGTATCTTCTAAACTGTTTATCGGATTTTATGAGTATATTCAGGAAGTACATATAAAATTAAATTGTCTATAATATTGTCGAACAACAAAACAATCTACAGCAACTCCGTATACTTTAAAATAATTATTGAAAATAAAATAATGAAAATTTTAACACTGAATTGATACAACCTCAATTATTACATACATTTACTCAGTAAATCTCTTATAACTTCAAAACTATTTGATTTATATGAGTGATGTATTTAGGTAATATCTCTATAACTAATTATCTATAGTATTGCCTAACATTATAATGCTCTACATCGAATTGGTATACTTCGAAATAATTATTGAAAATAATAATAATCCCCAATATTGTCTTACAACATAAAGACCTACAGCAATTCGGTATACTTTAAAATGATTATTGAAAATAGAATATTCAAAACTTTAACACTGACTCGATTTGGTACATTCATTCAGTAAATCTTTTGTAACTTGAAAACCATTCGTTTAATATGAAAGATGTATTAGACAAATTTATACAGAATTAAACAGTTTAAAATATTGTCTAACATCATAATATCCTATAGCAACTCTGTATACCTTAAAATAATTATTGAAAAAATTAATTGCTGAAAACTTCAACACCGACTCGATTTTGTACATCTATTCGAGGAAATCTCTTGTAACTTGAAAACCATTCGTTTAATATGAATGGTGTATTACGAATACTTTTTAAAAATTAAATAATCTCTGACATTGTATTACAACATAACGGGAAGTTAATAATAATAAAAAATATAGAGTTGAAGAGGCGAAATAGATTTAACGATTGAACCCTCCGATTCGCGAGCACTGTATCATTGTCAGAGCTAGTTCGCGTCATCGCAGATTCCCCTCGCTCGCATGTCGCATATAAGCGTAAGCGCACAATTACAGATCCTAGCTACACGAAGCAAGTTCGAGCGAACGAGCGAACGAGCCAACGAGCGAACGAACGCACGAACGCTGCGGTGAATTCAAGCATAGCTGACGCTACTCGTACTCGGCGGTCGGCGCGACTGCAAGCGATCATTGCGAAGAAGAAACGTCTTCGTGTAATACCGATTGAACCTCGCCCGCCTTCGGCGGGCTCGTTTGATCGCCATAACACATTTAACTTAAACTCAAACTCATGTGTATTTAAATTTGTTTTAAAACCTATTGTGTCAAAAGTTATACAAGTAATACTAGTCGAATTAGATACTATAACAAGTGCTTCGGTTTGTGTTTCCTTAGTTTTCAAGTTAAACAGAAAATATCAAACAGTTCATCATCTGAATTCGTTAATTTCCGAAGTAAATCCTAAAATAGAAAATTAGGGCTAACAGTAATATGCTAGCCAGACAGACGAAGTGTGTAACAAGAATATATCTCAAAAGTGGAACATTTTACAAAAAGATGATAATGCAAACGATGTAACGCAGCCAGAAAAAAGCAAGTTGAAAATATTTTTCTCTATCATACTAATCATTCTTATATTCATTCTTACGCTTTTAAACCTATTATCTATATCATTAATATTAATATATATGTATATAGGCATGCATGCGTGTGTATAGATAAATAATATATATATATATATATATATATATATATATATTTCGGTTCTAATTTAAAATATTTCGTTAGAGCACTACGGTGTGAAAGGCAATGGAAAATCTCTTATAAGATATTAAGTTCAGGTCAAGTACCTGTCTTTAGACCGAGCACCCTTTCATTATAGTGATCTGCCTAATATATACATATACAAATATATACATATATATATACACATATTTATATTATAATTATTGGATTAATTAAATTCGCAAGAGATTAATTAATGTTTCGGCTATTTAATTTTGATGTTAAGATATTTGACTAAATTCTTCTAAGGCGTTACGTCAAATAAAATGTCAAACATTTTAGGATGTTCAAACGTTTTGACATAATATTTTGTGTCATCATCAGTGAGACTCCCATAGACATTTACCATCCTAACTTATAAGTAAACAAAAAAATGTTTTAAATAAATTAATAAGCATAATACTCTCCAGCATAATTATTAATTAATAATTAATTATAATTATTATTATTAATAATATATTATAATTTATTTAAAACAATTTTTTGTTTAATAATGTCTATTTCTCTTTATTATCTAATATTCACTGATGATGACATAAAATATAATGTCGAAAATGTTTAGAATATTATTGATTAATTTATAACTATTTGACTCTTTATATGATGCAGAAATGCCTTAAAAAATATCCATATATATTAGATTTTTTAACTTCCAGAAGGAGAAGTTTGTTTTCATCAAAAATCCGATTCGCTAATTTATGTTTTCTCGACGTTTCAAGCAATTCTGAATCGAATGAGACCAAATTTGGAAAAAGTATGTGTGTGTGTGTGTGTATGTGTGTGTGTGTGCGTGTATGTGAACAGATTTTTTTATATTTATCTTATATTTAATTAGTTAATTTTTTTATATATTTAATCATTTTTATATTGAATTTAAATTTGAATTTAAAGTTTTGTTTGCTTAGTTTTTATAAACCAATGTGTTAATTTTGAGTGTTTTTTGTTATGTTTTTTTGAGCTTCTATATACTAGATGACCCGACAGACGTTGTCCTGTACCCACGTCTACAATTCAAAAGCTCCAAAATTTTTAATATCCTGTCCTATACGTTTTTTATTTGATGTCCTGTCTTTTTGATTCATTCATGGTTTTTGCATAAACACTATAAAAAATTCAGAAAAAAATAATGTAGTATTTGCGGTAAAAGAACAATATCACCCTTGATTTTACCTCACAACATAATTGCTTCAATAATTTAGTCTATAATTTTCATTTTAGTTGCTTTTTGGCAATTACAATTTCTAAAATACAATTTCCTTACTAATAATTTAATAAACATTATTGTTTATATTCAAATCTTAGGTGAATTAATTTGTAAAATCTAGTTTATATGTGCACTCTGCAATCTAAGATCAACTTGCTAAATATTCCATATCCAATGCCAATTTTTGACAATGAAAGAAATTCTAAATCATTTTTTATTAAGTAGAAATATTTTTTGTATTGTTGAATAATTTATAGTAAAGTAAACTAACATGCATAATTCATAAATTTAAAAAAATAATGCATATGCACTTTGGACTTATTGCGTTATTTGTTAAACTGAATTATATAATTTCATCTTCCAAACATCTACTGTATCTTTATATTATTTTAATTTCTATCACATTTCAGCTGCTTTTCGGCAATGATAATGTAGACATTATATTTTTTTGTATATTATATTCTAATATCATCTAGACTCATAATTTTAGCTAAACCCAAATTTCAAGTGAATTGACATTTCTAGCAAATGGCAGTTCAGATATTTTCAATGTCACACAATTATAAGTCATTTTTTGTAATTTTTGCCAATAATTTCTACAATTTTACTATAGTTTATTGAATCATAAAAATTTTCTTTGACAAACTCTAAAAAGAATTATCAAATCCGAATAACCGTTGAGGAAAAGTATCAAATCATACACCCGTATAGGAGAATTTTATATTTAGGATATATCTTGATGTTTTTTTCGAAGTTAAAACATATTTAAAAATAATTAGCACCCCATTCGTCTAGTAATATCTCTAAATATAATTAGGAAAAAATAATTTCCCTTATATTATACGTTTCGGCTCTTGATGTGTGTCATCATTCAAAATAATGTCAGTAATTCAAAATAGAATATAAAGAATTAAGAGCAAGTATATAAATATGCCAGGATAAAAGCACAAAATTTAAAACAACAGGACAATAATGAAGAAAATTATTTCTTCTTAATTTTATTTTTTATTTCGACGTTTGGGCTGCTATTTATATATATATATATATATATATATATATATATATTGAATGGTAGAGTCTTGGATTTGTGTATATTTTGTAGAGTTTCGAACAAGAATCCAAAAATAATACAAAATAAAAAACAAGAAAAGTTTTTAAAAAAACAATTTCTTTATTTAATTATTCTTTATTTAATTATCTTTTAGTAATTTTGATTTACAAAATCTAATTATTCGGTGGAAAATTAACTCACAAATTCATTTTTGTTAAAAAAGCTTGTTTAGTGAAAAAGTGCTAACAAATATTCAAACATACAGGTAATTAATTCAACTTTGTCATTAACCTTTTCTTAAAAAATTTCCATAACTTTCAAAAAAATTTCTATTATGTTTAATATCCTGTTCTGATAATCCACTCATTTATTTTTATCATTTTTATCATTTTCATTTTGAACATATTATCATATTTCTGTATATTATTATATTTTTTTGCAATTAATTAATTATTTAAGAAAAATCTATTTTCTTTTCCTAAACATATTGTTTGCTAAAATCTCATCAAGATCATGTTTCTTGACAGATGTCCTGAAGATGGAACGTACCTAGTTCCGAAACGTCGACAATAAACAAATAATTAAATAAAGAAATTGTTTTTTTTAAAAACTTTTCTTGTTTTTTATTTTGTATTATTTTTGGATTCTTGTTCGAAACTCTACAATATATATATATATATATATATATATATATATATATAAAATAGACAAAGTCCTGGATTTTTTCAATAAATTGATATATGTTTCTTTTACGAACAATAAATATAATAAATAAAAAACAATTTGTTTTTTGTGGATGTTTAATTACGACGTTTCGGAAGTAGATACATTCCATCCTCAGGTTTCTTCTGCAATATTGATCTATATATCCATATCACTAATTTTTTGTTAAAAACACATGAAAAAAAATTCAAAAAATTTCAAAAATTTGACTTCACACGACTAAATTACTGTATGTAATTCAATTCAATTCAATTTTTATGATAACATAATTAATATGAGAATTTTTATAAATTATTGAAACTTAATGAATATTACGTTATGGATTAACAATAAAATTAACCATAAAGGATTTCGCTTCAATATATATCGAATTATCAAGTGAATGAAAATTATTCATTTAATACATTTCTAGCCTCTTCTCAAAATGTGCTAAAAACAGTTTATTTCTCTGTAATAAATTTGATGTTTCCCCATTGCCATTGTCAACACTCTGTATATAACATTAGTAACTTTTCTGTATGTAGGTTTGTAGAGAGCACGTAAAAAATACTTTTGCTCTACTGTTGAAACTGATATCCAACTTTTAGCTAGGCATTTTGCTTTATGTAAGAACATTGTAATTAGTTGTTATGTGAATTTACTTTATATAAATTTTAATGATTTTATTTAATATGATTTTCATGTGCAGTGCTCGGTGTGTAGTATCCTGGCCGCTGCCTCCACAACTCCGTCTGCTAGTGAAAATGGAACGCGGAAAAAAATAATGAAAAGATGATAAATGTAATGATAAATCGAAAATTTATTAATAAATAATTATATTATTTATAATTATTAAAATTCAACACAGCAAATTGGACAATGAGGTTATTCAGTCCAATATGTTCGTCAATTTTCTTTTCGTCAATTTTTTGTTTGTTAATGCGTTCGTTATTGACGGATACATCATGGACGAACTTTTCAAACAGACCGAAAGAAACACACGAACTAATGGAAAACACCTAGCCGAAGATAAAATGTTAATTGACAAAATTAATAATAACGAATCGGATGATTATTTGACAAATAATAAAAAATATGAACTTGCGGAAGCTGTCGAAGATGCAAGTTCGAAATCCAAAGATATTGTCAAGAACGAAGATTTATTTATTGCTAATCTTGTAAATGATATTAAATTCCTGAATGATATGAACATAGTACATAAATTTATTTTGTTAGATAAAATAATTGAAAAATACTCAATGAACCAAAGAATAAATGAGTTTAACTCTGATAATAACGATTTAGAAAAATACGAAAACGACAATGCAGATCTATTTGAATACCAAAGAAATAGCAATGAGCTTTACGATAATAAAATCGATTTAAAAAATAATGCCTTAATCTATAAGAATGTTGGAGAGGATACCTCTAGTCAGAAAAGTATTTTCCACGACAACAATTATGTGCACTCTCGAAATAAGTTTTTATTGAATGCTAAAATCAAGAAACATAGAAGAAGAGTATTAAACAGCTTTATTAATGCTGTGCCTTTATACAATGCTGGAACCCGAGATATTGATAAAGAAAAACCGGATATTTCAGCGTCAATTCAAACGACGAACGAATCCAAAATTATAGAAAAAAATGATGGTGCCTTTATATATAGTTCCTTGACCAAAAAGGATAATATTTCAATGCTTTCGTCGGACGGAAATATTTTAGTAACTAATCGAACAAAAATTACATATCCAAATTTAACATTGCATAATATTCACAAGCGAAATGTAGATGACCAAAAATATCTAGCAAAGCCTCAAGAGTCTTCTAATAACTCTACGTTTACGAGTAAACCAAAGCTTAAAAAACAATACTGTCACTCAAGAGACCCTGAAACGTTAACCTATTTTTCACCGATAGCTGTAGAGGTCACAATTACATCGATTTCGACCAAAAATAATAAACTAAATGAAAATGATGAATTTTCAAGTAATTGGTGGACGAAAAATGGTTTTGAATATTCATTGGTGAGAAACCGGCCTATGATTTATCCAGCTCATCGAATCAATAGTCGAGGCGATCGAACAAATGGCATCTATTCAGCAGTTTTCAGAATAAATAAAGTTTTGAAAGATGTTTACAATAAACTTGAACCAAACAAATATATCAAATTACAATTTTTGCGAAAAATGAAAAACAGTAAGAAAATAAATTGTGGCTACATATTTAGTCAAGACTTCCAAAAATATTACAAAGATAGTGAACAAGGCGAGAGCAGGAGTATGAAAAATATTAGAGTTGATGAGCATGTGGGGAATATTACGAGGCCTAGAAGACAAATTCCAGAAGGTGCTAATGTCTTTGCTAGTAGATTTGAAACCATTCATAATCCAACAAGGTCTCAGACAAATCTGGAATTCTATCGTAACCAAAGATTTATTTCGAATCATCGTAATTTTAATTACACGGAGCATACTCAGAACCAAAGAAGAAATTTCAATTTCAATAGTGCGCCTCAGGCATTCGTTGATAAGAAAATGTACTCGGTCACAGTTTTAGAAACGGAGCCGGAGGTTAGACAACCGATTGCGAATAACCAAAGATTTTATAAGAATTCATTTCAAATGAAGCAAGACTACATAGATTTTAGTGAACCTATTACCGAATCAAAACCTTCATTTAATGAACGAAGTTCAAAAATTAGTGAAAATAATAAACGTATTTATTCTAGTGAAACTAATATAAATCGATCTAAAACTAATGAAAATAGATATACTAAAAAAATAACTAAAAATAGACCTAATATTTATTCTAGTATTAATGAACATGATATTAATAAACCTGATCATTCTAGTGAGAGGGACACCTTAATTTTAATGAACAGTGAGTTGAATTCTGCGGATAAACAATTATACACATCATTTTTAAAACAAAGTGATTCGCATGTGGGATCGAGACCTCAACCGTCCTTAACCACGAAACGACAAAGCAATTTCCCAAAGAATGAAAAATTTTATCTAATAGAAGCTGATTTAAAGTTATCTAAAACTTACGTGCTTTTCATGAATCATGAAATAAGTTCAAGGGACTATAATGTTTTGAGTGAACCACTTTTAGTCACTCCGAAAACAATGAAATCCATACAGCGGGCCCTTAAAACGCAGTACGGTAAGTTTATGTAATAAATATTCAAAATAGAGATATATTTAAGATCTACTAATCTTTACTCATTTTTTTAGACCTCAATAAAGATCCTCAACTATTAATTTTGTAAAAAAAGATATTTTTTATATATTCAGCTATTTAATTTTTTTACAAAATTGAGCTGAGTATCTTTATTGAGGTTTAAAAAAATGAGTAAAGATTAGTAGATCTTAAATAAATCTATTATATGTGAGTGTGTGTGTGAAAATTTTCAAAGCACAGACAAAAAATATAAGATTTTTGAAGATTCATACATCAATAATTAATTCTCCAAAAATCTTAGAGCTTAAATAAATCTTTGATATGTGAGTGTGTGTGTGAAAGTTTTCAAAGCAAAGACAAAAAATATAAGATATTTAGAGATTCATGCATCAATAATTAATTCTCCAAAAATATTGTTTTTTATTTCAAGTATTGCCTTTGTAGATCTAATACATATATTTGAAATTTAAAATTATCTTGATCTGCTTTCGACTTTGAAACTTTCAGTAAATCTAACAACAAATATTCGAATATAATATTATATTTTATTATTAATATTAGAGCATTTGTATGTATTGAAAAACGTATAATTAAAAAAAAATTTTTTGAAGTTCGAAAAATGGTCTGCTAATTACTTCAAATATATATCTACATATCATAAATCAATCAATCAATTATATATGCCTATATATATGTATGAATTGTGTTATACACATTATAAATGATATTAGAAACATTAACTAGTGGTGCATGGCATCATGCCTTAAGACAAATTGCTTTAACTTCCTGTACAGAAAACTAAATTAATAAAAAAAGCTTTGCAAAACTATGAAAAAAAAAATTTTTTTGAGAAATTTTGAAATTTTTGAAAAAAATTACTTTTTTGAATTTTTTGTTATATTTTGATTTTTTTTTGGGACCTGTCTTTTTTTACAAAAAATTCACCAGTTGTTCATTTCATCCATACAAGTAAAAGGTTTTTTGAAAAATTTTAATCGGACGCTCCGTTATCTTAAAAACTGAAATACCATTTTTGGCACTTTTTGCGCCCTACTTACGAAACGCCTAGACCTGCCTTTGCCAAAAACTAATCAGCACGTCTCTTTATTAGTAAGAATAGAATGTTTTTTGAACTATAGAAATCAGTTGATCCGTGTTCGTGAAATCGTCGACGAAAATTTGTATCCGCACACACACATAAATCCATTTTTTGTAAGGTGTGCCACAATTTTCAGAAACCTCTGAAACGTAAGGATTATAATCTGCAGTAACATTATTTAATTTTTTTATTTTACATTTTATATCTGGTATTTTTATTTTAATATTAATTTCAATTAAATAACAAAAACGAAGCAGATATAAAACATACACACACACACATATATATATATATATATATATATATATATATATATATATTTCAAAGTAACTAGCAGCCCATTCGTCGAAATAAAAAAGGTATAAAGTGTAAATACTTTTATTTATACGTTTCGACACAATATATATATATATATATATATATATATATACTTGGCCTTAATTACATGTTGGAAATTGTATTAATTCACTCAATGGATACACTTTTTCTTCGATGAATGTGTGGGTCTAAATAGATCATCTATATATATATATATATATATATATATAATATATATATATATAATATATATATATATACATGTGTGTATATATATTAAAATTCATAAAGGCATCGTTATATCTAAATATATATTTAATATTTTGCGAATGCAAATTGCAATAAAGAACTTTTTTTATAATTTAATAACTTGAGTTTATTTGTATATTGATAATTAAATCATTTGCCGTTTCTGAAGAAAATGAATCTTACCCGTACGAATCATCACGAAATTCACGTGAAACAATATTTTGAGGTGTGCCAAGCTTATATTTTATAATGATTATAATGTTAAATGTAAAACTTAAAATGTAGAGCATTTAATATATTTCTGGACTTGATATGAAAATTTGGCAAGTTTCCAAAGTACCTGTCAGCATCCGTACAAAATACCAATGTTCGAGTTCGACTTGCCCGAAGATATTAGTTTGTTTTTATTGCAATTATTGTGCAAACGAGTAGAAAAGCTGATGCTAATCCGATCCTAGAAAACTGAATTTTGATTTTTCTCACCAGGTAAGCCTGCTGGCATTGTTCCACCAGTGTCGTCTCGTGAAACCGCGGCCAACGTCGGTGAACGACGTCAGATCGTCTGTCGGACGGTAGGGGAACCCCCTCCACGGGTAACCTGGTTCAAGACAGGGACAGCAGGAAGGTTAAGGAATGCTGCACGAAAGGGACAGGCTAAAAGAAATCAGTCAGTCAAAAAAAGGAACGAGAACCGTTCAAAATCGGAATCCGGTTACAGGATTATACACCAGAGGTATGAAGATGGGTATAAGGTTTACAAGTACTCACGTATTATCGATAAGTTATTCTTTAGATTTTTTTATCTGTGAAGGGTCGCATTTGATTATGCTATATTTTGATACAATTTTGTTGATTTATCATCAATTTTTATTTTTTGCCCCAACATTACTATGCATGGATTATTAGCGATACTCGTTATGCATGTATGTTTGGATATTAATGATTTAATAGACTAAATGATTTAAATATGCAGTATTTATCTCTAGCTCATTCAGTAACTTGTAAAAAATTCAGTACTTAGCAACAAAACAGAATCAATAAAAAATATCAATGAAAATACTTTAATGACAACCATGTTAGTGAAAAAGAATATAGAATATTTTATTTAAAACACTAAATTAAAATAATAATGCCGACCAACACGCATTTTAAATAACAGTCAAGTATATATTTTTGTGTATCAAAAATATATCTATAACCACCTGAAAAAAAAAGATATAATATATATATTTTGAAGTATGTGAATTTGGTATTGATATATATTTTGATGAGTTATTTTGATTCGGGCAGTAACACCAATTAGTTTCGGTCTTCTTCGAGACCGTCATTCAGTGGAACAACTAACAAATTTTATAACTAATATAGAAGGAAAATGATATAAAATTATAGAACTTATATATAAATACTTACAGAAAATTAATTACACAAAAATACATTACACTATTACACAGTAATAAACCAAGCTATTAATAATTGGAACATTTAAAACTATATGCGTTGACATTGATGTCTAAAGACTGAATGAATTGTGTTTACAATTTTTTTTGTGAATGTGTAAAAAAGACTAAATTTTTTTTAAATAAGTTACTTTCGAAATGTAGGGTCGTGGGATTGAAAAAATCGATGTTATGTTTGAGGTCATTAATGTGTTCTGTGAGCATTGTTTTATATTGGTTTTTGTTTTTGGAATTGTTTTTATGTTGTGATATATATATATATATATATATCATTGATATTACGAAAGTTTTTAAAATATCACTTTATTATTTCCAGATATAAATCCATACTAGAATTTCAGAATTTGACACAAAGTGATGAAGGCATCTATCAGTGCAAGATAAAGAATGGAAAAAGTACTTTTGTTCAGAATATAAAATTGACAGTTAAAAGTATGTAATTTTTATAAATACATCTTATCTACTGAATCTACCAAATTCTATTTTATTTTGCAGGCAGGCCACCTACGTTAATACCTTCTCATTTGGAACCATCATACTCAGAATGTCCACATCAACAATTTTGCTTAAATGGTGGTACATGTATGTTCTTTGTAAGATTAGCTGAACCAGCTTGCAAGTGAGTTTTTATCAATTATTTATCTCTGTGAAGTATTTATAAATATTTATATTTAATTTATACAAACAAATAAGACTCGAAAGAGTAGAAGAATGAATTAGTCATAGGCATAGAAATAAATTATATATAGTGCTTGAATACACTATGTGTTTTAAATCTTGAAACATGTTTAATGTTAGTAGATGGAAGTACATTAATTTATTTTATATTATATAGATGTCAAGATGGATTTACGGGTCAACGTTGCGAAAGCAAGCACGTATCTCTACAGAGAGCAACAAATGATTGCGAATTTGGTACGCATTTTTATTGTTAATAATATATATATATACATATATTTATATTATTTATTATTATTTAACGTAATGATCGCTAACATCATCATTCTACAGTTTATTATAAAAAGTTTGAGACATTTTTATATGCCAAAGAATTCGCATTATATGCGCAAATATTTTTTTAATAAGATTATAAGGTTTTATATTGTATTTATCATACTACTCACTGTTTAAAATTTGATGCTATATAAAAAGAAAACCACTGTGATTAGATATGTTTCATGTATACTTGTCGTTTTATGTACTTAATATTACTAATTTAAACAAAATCTAATGAAAGAATTTTGGAACAAAAATATTTATTAAAGCTATAGATTTATATATATTTATCAAAGTTTTCATAAAATATTCAAAAAAAATTCATAGTAATATATTTATACATTAGTAAACATGCTGATACTGTTAACACATATAAATATTTAAAGTTAAAGTTATTTTACCGAGAGATGGTAATGGAGAGGTGAATAATTTCAATTTACTTTTTTCTTACCTAATGACATTTTATAATATATGAATGTATTAATTATTTATAACATATTATTACAACTTTCTTTGACTATGCGTAATTTAAATTATTTCACACATCACATTTTAAATTTTTAAGAAAACGATTCCCGTGTTTTAGATTAAATATATTCTTCTAATATTGCATTTAACGTTTTTTCTATAAGATAGTATGAAAGTCTTATTATAATGATTAATTGTTTTATTTTTACAAACTTATATAGAATGTTCGCAGGTTTAAAAATTGTCATACAGGTGATTGTATTTTTATAATTTTCTAAAGCCATAACTCATTTGTATTCATGTGACGTATAATCATGATATAACTATAATTTTTTTTTAAATGTAAAATATATCCAGAAGTAGATTGCATGTATCAGCTTTATTGATATTTATTTATTTTTTTACAAATAAGATTGCTGAACTTGAAGTGGTTGCAAATGTATTTACTGTTGAAATTCTATGCACTTAAATGTAATTAGGATTTAGGAAATGTGTATTATATATAATACTGTCAATAATTCTTGACACTTAACACATAATTGTTTTATTATTTATTTATTCATTGAACTAAATTATATAGAAATAATATTACTAAAAATAATTATTTTCCTATGTTAACAGTCAATTAAAGTAAATACATGAATATTTTTGATTATTAAGACTTCTTTTTTTTTATCCATAATGCTTCTTCCAACAGACAAAAAAATTAGTACAAACTCTGGTTCTAGGTATTCTCTGGTATTTCCATTTATATGGTTTCAAGAGTCATAAAATGAAACGAAAATGTGTTTTACCTGGAAAGGAGTCTTTGAAGTATCTTGTTAGACAATTTGATTTTTAGAAATAAATATTTTTTCTGTACTTTTTAATACTACAGCTATATGATTATTATTTAATAGCACTAAAAGTTAATGACGATCATAATGACCTTTTTTATGAAATTCTTTATGAATCATCTGTTAATCCAGTCCAGTGGTCACTATATTGTTAATATAAATTAGTATAGTATAATTTAATATTATTTTTTTATTATTTTATTTAAAAATTTACCAAAACAGTTAGGATCAGGATTATAGAATATAATAATAATAATTTAAGTTTTTCAGTAATTGTGTGCACAGCTCTAGCAGTAAACATGTAAATCTCGAGGCATGTAATAATTAATATATAATTATTAGTGAGTGTACAATTTGATTTTTAGTGAAAAATTGTTTATTCCAATAAATCAAAGATAAAACTAGCGGTGCTCACGAAATCGTTGAGAAAAATTTGTATCCGCACACACACATATATCGTCAAATCCACACCACTGAAACGTAAAGTATGCAAAAATTTTCATTTCCGAATTTTTTGCGATTACTTTAATTTACCCTACAGGAAGTTAATAACTAAATTCTATCAACTCTTTAATGCGTATAAATTAATGGCAAAATCAAGAAAAAAGCAATTCTTTACATATATACATGTTATTTCTAATTATTTATTTCATAAACTCAATATTATTTTTAATATATTGCTAATCAAAATAAAATAAATAAAATATGATCAAAAATGTTGTTTGTATGTTTTGCGATAAAGAGCCAATATAATGGCCCTTTATTTAGAAATGCTTAGATTGAGTCATTCATTAAGAAGGACTTATTGTACAGATACAACACATGAGTGTAAACATTGAATGATTCATATTAAATAATACAAACGTGTAATAATAAAGAATCTTGTGAATGTTCAGAAAATAGTTCTTCACTTTCATTTATAATATCAAATGTCGATAAAGTTAAATTATTATATATACAATAACGAAATCAGTTTTTCATATCTTATTACATAAACTAAACACTTCCAAATACAGATCCATCACGAGCTCTTTATCACATAAAAAATAAAACACAAACAATATTGTCTCTAAGCTATTCGGTATTCGGCCCAATATTAAAAAAGGTGCCGAATACCGAATAGTAACCGAATATTCGGTGCAAGCCTAGTATAAATGTGAAATTATTTTGTTTATTTACAATATTTCCTGAAGAAGGGGAATATATCCCCGGAACTACTAATAAATAAATAATAAAATGAATAATGTTTTAGTTTAGAATACATATATATAATATATATGTATATATATTATATATATGTATATATATTTATATAATTATATATATATATATATATATATATATATATATAATATTTCGATTTCCTTTTCCGCATTCCCGAATTTTTTCCAGCAGACGGTTTGTATCACGGTTTATCCTTTTTTATCTATGGTTCGAATGTTGAATAAATAGAAATGAAGTTAGTGGCAGACAATGGTCTATGTCGCTTTAAATATGGCTACCCTGTTGCTTATTCATTCATACTGTACGCTGTACGCTATATGACAAGAGTCACAGTGGATTTAGTACAAACTACTAAATTACTTGATACGTTATAACATGGCGAACTTTTGTGCTGTCATATGGTTTATGATTGTATATTAAATTATTGATTAGCTTTCCTTATGTGACTATTTGTAGGATTTTTATTTGCTGCAGTAAATAGTTTTCATTAAAAGTTGACTGTTCACAAATATATTGTCTCGTTTTATTCATTCGTGTGTTGTGTGGTTTCTGTAAACAATAATAAATAGATATTTAATGTCAAGTATTCTTCATGTCATTTTGTGCACATCTTATATATTTGATTATGAGGGATACTCCGTTATCAAGACATTAGATCATTTTTAGTTACCAATAAGGTAGGTTTCTTTAAAAGCCATTTGTTTTGATGCTGGAAATAAGTTTACATATATTTATTGCTTGTATATAGATATATATATATATATATATATATATATTCATAATTTGTTGCGCATATATAAATGCTAGTATTATTGAAACAACTAAGATTTAAGGTTTCTTGTAATAGAAACTAAATGATTTCAAATTATAGTATTTGTCAGTTTATATTTATTATGACCCAATATTTTAGTACAATGTATGGTTTTAGGATATGGCTAACCTAAATTTCCAACAGCCACCTCGTAGTATAGCAGTGGGTTCTTTGGTTGCTCGAGGAGTTGGTGCATTTGGAGCGAGTTCTCTTTCAGGCCATGTTACGCCTACATCAGGAATATTCCAACCAGGTTGAGTTCGTTTATTATAAACCCATAATATATAAATATATTCCATTGACATAAGTGTATGTTTAAGTTTTGTACGATTGTCTACAATTGTAATTTAAACTTTATTGGAAATTTTAATTAATGACTGTTTTTCAAACTTACCTTCTTTACTTACCTATTTAAATTTATATATGTTTAATATTTTATAACTTTAAAATAGGTCAGATCAATCAGTCAAATGATATATATAAAAGCATTGTGTAGCGTATTTAAAGTAACATTTTTAATTTTTATTTACTTAATTTGCTATATAGACTTTTCAATTATTAATTATTAATTTCGATTATAAACTATGAAGGATCAAGTTTTGGTCAAGCTCAACCACCTCAACTCTCTCCCAGTAGAAATGTTGGTTTAGTAGGTCATCAATCTGCATCAGGGAGAACATCTCTTTTTGGGCCAAGAGCATTTGCAGATCGCAGGTCCATACCTACTGTAGGCAATGCAAATCCAATGGTAAATGTAGTTATAAGCTAATATTGAAGAACATAGTAATAATGATAATAAACTATAGTGGTTTTCCAATAATTTATATATATATATATATATATATATATATATAAATAAATAATACTTGGGCTTATCATATCCTATTGTTTAAGATATAACACCACTTAACCACTACACTTTTCCAGAACAATCATGTTTTCAATTGTGAGTCATTCATATTTAAGGATTTGTCAAATCACAATAAGTAATTGAAATTTGTTTATAATACATACATATTTATTCATATTTCTATTAAAATTTACTATTTCATGCATTTCAATGTGCCCATAAGTCTCAAATTGTGTGAGATAATAAAAATATTAAAATATGGAAAAATTAAACTAAGGTCAAAGGTGTAACCTATTACAATTAGTAAAAATTTTAATTTAACATATTTGATATAATAATTTTACAAAAATAGAATTCATATTTTTAATAACATCTAATTTTGTATACAAAGGCATTAAAAAAAACAGACAGAAAACAGGTTGTGAAGAAAAACACACACACACATATATTATTGATATTTAAATATCAATCAAATTAATACAATTTCATAATTAATACAAGTTCATAATAACAAATTCATTTGTTTTCTGGTTTCAGTCGAGCATGGGAAGTTTTATGGCTGGCTCCCGAGGTGGTGTAGGGAGCGGCAGTGGGTTTCATTCAGTCTTTGGAGGTGCTGCAGGTGATGCCAGCACACCCCCTCTTTTAGACCTTTCAGAATTTCCTTCACTGGGGCGAAGTGGCCAAGGAGACCAAGTTCATCAACCGGCTACAGCTGGCGTCAAGCCATATGGTGAGACATGTAATAATCTTTTTTATTTTATACTTGAATATTTAGCTAGTTAAAGAAATAAAAATAGTTTAATTAATATTCTTATTGTTCTTGTTACATGAACTTTTGCGAGCCAGAAAGAAATAGAAATAGATTTTTTGTTGTATAATGCCTTTATTTGTCGTTCTTTGATATTTAATTCTGCAGGAATAATCTTTTAAATCAAAATACATTTCATACGTTTTCTACATTCACTGCATAGGTTTGTGCCTAACAAAAATTGGATTTCTTGCAGTGGGTATGGTAAAGCAACCTACAAATGAACAATCTGAGTTTCAAATGTCTTCAGAAGATTTTCCTGCCCTCCCTGGTACCCAATCAAGAGAATCAATAGTAACGGGAAGCAGTGGGACAAGTGGAGGGATTGACAAATTAACAAACACCAACAGTAATACTGATTTGCCTCAACAGATAAATGCGAGTACAACTGGTTCTGGACATGCGAACAATTCAGATAAAGGACTTGCCAAGAGAGGAATACAGACATCTCCCAATGGTAAATTACCTAATAAAACTAAAAACACCTGATAGAAAATATGTTTTTCAAATTTTTAAGATTCTATTGAATGCTATTGAAAAGGATGCCACTAATACACGAAGTAAAATATGACTAATAAACAAAATTTATTAGTGTTTATTTGAAAAATTAATATTGATATCACTCTCAAGTATTATTAATGATGCATTTATGTGTTGTAATTCTTCATTGATTCTTTATTATTATATGTTTAGGAAAAGTGAGAAATATTCCATCGAGTATGGTTAACAATCAATTCGGAATGGTTGGACTATTAACATTCATTCGTGCTGCAGAAACAGAGGATCCAAATCTTGTTTCATTAGCTCTAGGACAGGATCTCACAGCACTCGGCTTAAACTTAAACTCACCTGATAATCTGTATACAAATTTTGATGGTCCTTGGGCAGAAACACCATGCAGGTACTGAACGAAATGATAAATCTCACCTTGAGAAAAGTCGTGAAATTATATTTATATTTTAAAATTGCTTTCGTTTTATAGGCCTCAAGATATAGATTATCATGTGCCACCAGAGTACCTAATAAATATGACTATAAGAGATAAATTAGCACCTCTGAAATTGACGCGGTATAAAGAAGATCTTCTGTTTTATATGTTTTACTCAAATCTTGGAGACTTGTTACAGCTCGCTGCTGCTACAGAACTGTGAGTATCACATGTAGTTAGATTTTACACAAACAATATTTCTTGTGGTGACATATTATGTTATTTTAGATATAATCGTGAATGGAGGTATCACATGGAAGAAAAAGTTTGGATTACCCAAGCGCCTGGAGTAGGCATTATAGAAAAGTTCTCAACGTATGAGAGAGGAACCTATTATTACTTTGATGCACAAAGTTGGCGTAAAGTTCCTAAGGAGTTCCATTTAGATTATAATAAACTTGAAGGCAGGCCTCATATGCCAACAAATTAAGTATAATTTTGAAGCAAGTCTTATAAATGTGGCATTTGTTTCTACTGTAAAAACTCTAAATATAAATTATATGAATTTAGCTTTAATTTTTGTACATAATAATCGTAAGTTATTAAGAATAAGTTTGTTACATTTATTTTAATTTTTGTATTATAAATTCAAGCTAGGACTGTTTGCCTGTGATTGGTATGATGAGTGCAAATGATAAGAAAGATAACTCGATACTTCATTCAATTTTAACAGCAGCAGACAATTATCATGTTTGAAAATTTTTTAAATACACAAGCATTTGGTGCTAAAATGGAGCATAATTTACAATCAATATACCTAATTTTAAAATAATTTTGTTTTTATTATTTATAAAGCTCCATCTTTATTATTTTATCTTTATTATATTTAATTACATTTAATAATCATAAAATGACAGTGAAAGTGATAGTGAAAATAGTTAAACTTTACTATTAATGCTTATATTTATCAAAGGGTTTCTTTCAATGTATAATCAAATAAGTGCTTGGAGGAAAAACAGTTTTGACAATGGGTTTCAAACAACCATAAAATGGTAAGTGTTATTTATGTTTGTTTTATTCATTTATTAATTTTTTATTTATACAGCAAGTTAAGACTCAAGTTGAGAATTTGAAACAAGATTATTCGATTCTAAATTTAAAATAGAAGAATTATATTGCTCAGATGTTATCCAGAGAACTCGGGATGTCTTCAACAGAGTCAATTGATGTTGTTGAAGTTTCAGAATCTGCAAATTAAATTATTTCAATGAATATCAAAATTTTATTTTTGGTTTATAAAACGAATTATATTTAGTTCAACTTTATATTCAGGTAATTAAATTTCTTGTTGAAACTTGAACTGAATGCTTTTACTGTTGCAAATTACTAACTAAACTAGCTATAAGTAGAATATACTTCCGGATATATACACAATCAACTTAAAAAGAATTGATTACAGCTATTTAGATAAAATGTTCAACTGGTTATTTCAAAAATAAATTGCACTTTTAGTAAATCATAAATACGATTTCTAATTGATCTCTTTCAAACATACTATAAAGAATAAATTATTATATATACAATAACAAAATCATTTCTTCATATCATATTATGTACAAATACAGATTCATCGCGAGCTCTTTATAGCATAAAAGATAAAACAACAAGAATGCTGTGGCTGAGCGGCGGCGGCCTCTTTTATTTTAATTATTTGGTATTCGGCCGAATATTAAAATAGGCGCTGAATTCCAAATAGTCACCGAATATTCGGTGCAAGCCTAATTTAAAGTATGTTCGCCATAGATTTTGATTAGAATCTTCGAAGTACACGGCGCAATTCCTAACTTATAATATTTTAGCATGTTTTTTTAGACTACTAAATTTGTCGTCATACTAACTTTCATCAAAACCGTCAAAAAAAAAAAATCAAATTACGATGAAAGGAACTGATCAGCACGATTCCTAACTGATATCTTTGAATTTCTGAAATTTTAAAATAAAGAAATACAAACGTTCAATTGTATGTTGGCAGGAAGCAGCAGGTGAGCAAACAAGTGAATTTGAAGTTGATTCGGACATTTCTTCCTGTTCCGAATCATCATCAGTATCGTGCCCTTCACAATGATTGCATTGAGTTGGCGAATAATTGTTGTGCTGTAATGAACTTAATTCTGTCGTGCCTGGTCGAGACTCCATTAAAGCCACTGATGTAAACACATGAGCTGGAACACCATCGTTACTACCATGAACATCACACTTACTCCTCGAATGCTGCTTTCAATGATTTGTGGAACTTAATATGTAAACTATATATTTGGATATGTGACCATAGAGGCCAGAATTCAAAATGAGCACCTTTGAATAAATAAGAGATATAAAAGCCAAAAGATTGTATGTAATAGGTATCTAATCATAAATTTATCTTTCATAAATTTTATTTACCCTATCAGATAAAGAGCTGCCTATTGAATCTTCACCTCCAGATTGATTTAATCTTTCTTCATCCATTCTGAAATGAATTTTTTTTAACCACTCACAATAAGAATATGTTAAATAAGGTATTTATGAAAGCAGCAAGTTAAATTGACTTACATAAATGCTTGAGTTATTCGAGAGCACAGACATCCCATGAATCAATTCTAAATTATTTTGACTTAATCTATAATATTTTTCTCGTTATATTTTTAGAAATAAATTATTAAGAAAATAATGACAAATAAGCACCTACTTATCCGCGGACGATCACTGATGGTTATTGACGATAAATCTGCATTCCCAACTAATTGCTTAGATTTCTTATGAACTGTTATTACTTTCCCTTAAATGTCTTTGAAATGACATTTTATTTTTATCAAAATAGGCTCAATTATTTGATAAAAACTTCATTTTTATTATGTTATAATTGGCATCACACTTGTTCAAGACCAGGATTGCAATGTTCATATATTAACACAGTGAACTCATTATCAAATTCATTTTGTCAAATGCTGGTTCTATGAAAAACAAATTAAAACACATAGTGTTTTTTTTTAATAATTCAATTTTTTTCCATTCAGTATATGCTATTATTAGGGGTTATTATACTAGTTATATCTGGCATTTTGACTAAAGGCAAGTTGCATATATATGTGAATAATCTACTCAATTGCTTTTTCCAATAGAATTTTGAGACATCCACGGCACTTTTTGGTTGAAATATTTTAGGGTGTTCATTAAGACTATTCTATTCTACATATTATCTTTATTTACATATGCAAAGCAGGATCGGTTAGGATATAACTCTGCTTAACAACTCCAGAACCGAATACCTTTAATAAATGATTTCTATACACCTAAGTATTTTTCAAACCATATTTTACTTTTTGATTATTGTTTACAAACAGTTCAAAATTAGGTTTCACTTAAAACCTTATAATTTCCTACAGTTGAGGTCAATACTCTGTTTCGCTTTTACGTTAAGGTCTGAGACACCCTGAATATATATATATATATATATATATATATACAGAGGCATGTATGTACATATGTGTGTTTATTTTGTATTTGATGAATTTTCTTTCTGCTGGGAATATGTTTTAACGCTGAATAAACAAATTTCAAAATGTATATGCCGACAATTGCTAACAATCCATAATTTTTGGTATAGATAAAATTAACAAGAACCATTGTTTTTTTTTGTATTTAATTTAATTGATATATCACTAATGATCATTGATATATAAACATAATATACATGCATTTTAAAAATGAAAAATAATTGTAGCTTAATTATCATGATTTATGTTACAAACTTGTATAATATTACATACAATACTTATATTAATTAAAGTAAACTGCAATATGAATCGATTGTCAACTCATAACTTAAATGCATACTATACAATAAATATATTTTTTTCTTTTTAATAAGGTAGATTATTGCATAGCAATTTAGCATTGTGAAATGACATTATGGTTATAAATATTTTAAATGTTAATTAGCATATAAAAAATATTTTTAAAATTTAAATTATTATATTCATAAATACTTCTAAAAGACAATATTCACCACATGCTATAGTCAGCATCATCTTGATCGAATGTGAGAAAGAATCCCAGTAATGTAAGATATACAACAACGTTTCCCGCCAATGTTAAATAGCAAGCAGCCCATTGAATCTGAGTAAAAATAATTGTTAACATGTAACTTAATATATATTTGTCACATCAATTAATATTTATGGAATAACATAGTTTACTATGTTAATAAATAGTATATAGTAAATTTAATAAAGAAGCAAGTAAAAAAAAAAATAATAATAATAATAGAAGTAGAGTGAACATGAATTACATGAGCAAACTAGAGTAAAAAAATTAATAAATAATAATAATAGAAGAAGAATATTAACTTTAATAATTATTCATTCATCATCAAAATTTTGGATTTTTTCTTAGATATACTACGTTTTTTTCAAATCAGATTTCATTCAAAATAATGTTTTTTATAAAATATTAATTTTCATACCACTCCAGGCTGATCGGGGGTAGGCACAGCAGCAGGAGTACGAGCTAGTACTATGGGCAATGCAAATGAACTAACAACGATCCCCATAGTGATAAATATTGCAAATTCCAAGCAAGCGTTGCTTGAACTTGAGTCGTTACTGTAAATTCATGTATGTAGAAAAAACATAAAAACAATCTAATCTTGACATGTGTAATCAAATTACCTGTATCTTTTTGCAATCATTGTAGGCAATGGAGCCAAAATATAAAAAATCACTACAAAAAAGGGCCACCATAATTTGCTGAAATCAAACATTTTTATTTTAAATTTCTACATATAGGACATTTAATAGATTGTACATTATTTTTATTACTTAAAATGTGGAAGAGCACAAGCTAATATGACAAGAGTCATTCCCATCGATCCAGCAAATGCCAAAGTGACAAGTCTGTAAAAACAAATATTTTCATTTTGACAGATGGTATTTACAAATCAAAAGCGTAGAGACTCTGTCAATACATAATACTCGGGTCATCAATAGATGGCGATATGAATAATAATTTAGCCTTTGAAAGATATGAATACAAATTAAAAACTTTGACTACCAATAAATAACAATCACAATTAGAATTGTATATAAGGTATAATTATAAATAATAATAATAGCAATATGCTTAGCATATGGCTTAACTATATACATAAAAACGTTGATAAAACAAAATATTGACAGCTCTTATTGCCAACAGTATAAATTGAAATCTTTACGGCCCACTTCAGATCGATCTGTAAAATCGAAAACTTGTTTCTATGTTTTTATCGTGTTGGCGATAATGCCGCTGAAGCATATTAATGGCGAATATGTAACTTTTTGCAAATGGCTGAAAGAAAGAGGTTTTTTAAAGCGAATCGATAATGAATTCCGATTAGTGATTAAAATATATAAATCCTATTAAGTGATATTCCAAACAACGTAGGCAGTATTTTTCTCAAGGGTATTTATTTTGCTATTGATATTTGTTTAGTAGTTAGTGACATATATGTATATTTAAGCGTTTCCGAACAAGTGATATACTTTATACTTGGGCATATTTTTCGCTGTAAAGAGGTTTAAAAATATATAAATATCACATAGAAACTGTTTATAGAACCGTTAGCAAAATATATTTGGTTACGTGTTTTTTCGTCTAACGGTATATTATTGCTTGTATTATAAGCCGAATATATGCTTTCTATACGCTGTGGCATTTTTACGTGATAATTTGCACGTGCATTATTAAAAGTATATACTTAAAAACGTTTATATACTAAATTTCAAATTATGGGGTTGAACTTAAAAGAATTATGTCTCATGTAGACTATTTTGTGCCCTGTATTTTATAAATATCTATTTCAGAAATGTAAAAATTAATCGTTGTAATATGGCGGCTTCAACAGCGCGCGAATTTGTTGAGGGATGGAGTTTAGCGCAAATATTAGGAGAAGGCTGTGGCATTTTTACGTGATAATTTGCACGTGCATTATTAAAAGTATATACTTAAAAACGTTTATATACTAAATTTCAAATTATGGGGTTGAACTTAAAAGAATTATGTCTCATGTAGACTATTTTGTGCCCTGTATTTTATAAATATCTATTTCAGAAATGTAAAAATTAATCGTTGTAATATGGCGGCTTCAACAGCGCGCGAATTTGTTGAGGGATGGAGTTTAGCGCAAATATTAGGAGAAGGAGCCTATGGCGAGTAAGTTATAAATATTATAAATTGTTAATTTGACATAAGAATCATTTATTGTAAAATAAATTTTCACTGCTTTATATAGTTACGCGCTTTTGTTTAATTAATATATAAATTATATTAGTTACTAATGTTTTTTATATTGATAAAATCATAATTTATATTATGTTATTATAAAATGTTATAATTATACACATAGTTTTCAGTTCTCTTTATATTACAAAACAAAGTAAATGATTGTTATAGTAATAAATTCTTTTGAATACGTTAAAAAGTTTTTGTTGATTATCAGTGTCTGATAAGCTTTAAAAGATGAGTTCTCAATTGGAATACGTAGAAAACTATTCTATTTACAATTAAATTTTGATAACTGTGATAAAATATCTTTTATTGCTAAACTGTGCTTTGCAAACAAAAATGTTGTATTTTGTAATGCTATTACATAAGACATTTTTCATTAGAGTAAGGCTGGTTATAAATCGTCATTCTGGAGAAGCTGTAGCAATGAAAATGGTTGATACAGCCAAGCATCCGGATGCTAAAAATTCTGTGCGCAAGGAAGTTTGTATACAAAAAATTTTGCATCATCACCATATCTTAAGGCTGTTTGGACAAAGATCACAAGGGAACATTGAATATATCTTCTTGGAGTATGCAGCAGGTGGTGAATTGTTTGATAGAATAGGTAATAATTGCTGATATATGAATACAACAAAATATTTTTCTCAAAAATGTGAAATATTTGTAAGAATATAATACATATATAACACTATGGTTTTAATTACTCAATTAACGCTAATATTTTTCATTTGAGTTTCAGTTATTGTAAGGTTTTTATTTATTTATATCTTTTTATATAACTTATTATAGAGCCTGACCTTGGTATGAAAGATAATGAGGCTCAGAAATATTTCAATCAGCTGTTGTCTGGTGTGGATTATTTACATAGTAGAGGTGTTGCACATAGGGATTTGAAGCCGGAGAATTTACTTCTTGATGATAAAGATAATTTGAAGATTTCAGACTTTGGAATGGCTACTATGTTTAGGTAAGGTATGTGTTCTTTGCTCTAATATTATTTGAAATTAATTTAAAAGAATGCTGTACATCAGCAAACTTTAATTTCAAACATACCATAGTATTTTTTTCTTAATTATAACTATTAAGGAATATAAATACAATTGTTGATTATCTAATATAGTTGCTTGCAGGATGAAAGGTCGAGAACGCCTTCTAGACAAGAGATGTGGAACCCTACCTTATGTTGCTCCTGAAGTTTTAACTGGAACTTATAAAGCTCAGCTTAAAAAAAAATTCTATTTCGTTTTTGCAACATTTGTATTCTTTTGCATTGTAACCTGAAAATAATCAATATTGATCTTACTGCTTTTTATTGTTATTGTATGTAATTTAATTTTGCTTGCATCATTTTTTAACATATTTTTTATACATACATTGTGATGTTTGCAGCTATGTTAGTTTTGTGTGATGCACATTTTTATTGTAATTGCTTGTTTTTGTGTTTAGTCTATGATTGCATCTTTGGTATTCTAGCTGTAGGTCATTATAGTTATTCCTAAGCTATTTTACCAAAATTGCAAATGTAGATATTGCATCTTGACCTATATCGACTTTTATAGTTTTCATATTAATATCTTTTGATATATCTTACATTTCAAATTTTTTCCAGAGTTACCGTGGGATCAACCAAAATCTGCATGTCCTGAATTTTCTGCATGGGAAAGAAATTCTTATACTTCGCTAACGCCGTGGACCAAGTTTAATAATTTGGTTTTGTCTTTGCTGAGAAAAATATTGTCACCCAATCCAGATAAAAGAATTAACATAGAAAACTTAAGAAAACATAGATGGTGCACAATGAAACTAATTAGTGAAGGTAAGTTTTATGTTCTTATATATCCTGAATAACAATAAAAAGTAAATTTCTCATATGGCACAATATATTGGTTGATTAAATACTATAGGTATATTTATTTATGTTATCAGGTACTGAGTGACTCTGAGTATCATTATTCTCAGAGCAACTCAGTGCTCGTTAATATGAATTGGAAGCATCATCACATTCAGTATCCTGCGTAGTTTCAGATGGTTTAGATAACGTCAATTCTTTGATGATTTAGCTGTGTGATTTTATATGATTCATAAAGCTAAATTACCAAAGCATTGCTGTATCAATTTCTTCATAGAGGATTTGAAATAAGTATCAAATTGGTTCATTTACATTATTCTTTAGTTTTGGTCTGATCTTTGGTGATCTAGCTGTATGAGAATCCTGTGAAATCCATAAAGCTATTTTACCAAGTATTAGAACATTATTATTTAGTTCTTAATTATTTATTTTGTTATTTAATTTATTCTGTAACTTGATTTTCTTTTTAATGATTTTTTTTAATTTATATAATTTGATATGATTGAAATCAATATCATTACAATCCTTATGGGATATTTTTTATGGGTTTTCAATAGACAAGTTGTCTCATTATATAAATTGTTGATCAGTGATTTTTTATAAACATATTGTATTTGATTTATCTTATTTTACAACTAGATTCTCAAATATCTCAAAAAGATGTGGTGGATGGGCCTCCTTCAAAGCGATTTTGTGGTATATCTAATTATGAAGAAAATATCAGCAAATTCTCGCTCTCACAACCTTTATTTGTACCGAATGTTCAAGAATATGACATTGATTCCAGAGCTGATGTTTGCTTCTCACAGCCGGTGCTTATGGATGACATGATCTTAAGTACTCAAATGAATCTCACCCAAAGTACAACACAGAACGTTTTCCAGAAGCTAGTTAAAAGAATGACTAGATTCTTTGTTAGCGGAGAGACTAATGACGCCATTAAAAAGCTCACTAGTTGCCTTGACAAGAAAGGATATACTTGGAAAGTTAATGAAGGAGTGGTTAGTATATTTATTAAACTGAAATGTAATCGGTTTTATCATATGTTTAGTAATTGTTTGATTAAGCACTGAATTAATGTTGTTCTCCTTAAAAGTTACTTCAATAGCTTTTATAATATATTAATATAAAACTTTATATTCATTTAAAATGATTGAATTCAACTCATTTTTTTACATTTCAGGTAACAATAAACACATTAGATAGGCGCAAAATGCCATTGGTATTCAAAGCTAATGTAATAGAAATGGATGATAACCTAATGATTGATTTCCGGTTATCAAAAGGCTGTGGTCTAGAATTTAAGAGAAGATTTGTAGAAATAAAAAAAAATTTAGGAGACATTATAGTCAAAGTTCCTGTGGGTTGGCCTTTAATTACATGACAATATTTTTAGCATATTTTAATATTATGAACTTATGTATATCATAAACAATTTTTTATAAAAAAAAATTATTTGTTGATTATTGATTTGCTTCAAGATTCTGTACAGTATTAGACTGCTTGAAATTGTTTATATATCTGTTGAGTGATGAGTGTATCCAGTTTATTTCCTGAATAAAGTTATGTATTTTTTATATTCGCTGTTTTAATTCCATTTTGTTTCTGTTAGTGTTTTATTCAATATATTATTCAATTGAGGTCTTTTTTTAAAATTTGAGGTACAATAATATATCCTTCGGACAGGATCTGTGGGCAGATATATTAAAAAAGTGTGAAAATTTAATGAATTTTTATAATTAAATCATTTTCGGGCCTATGATTTATAATATGACTGTTTATGATATTCGTTAAGAGCCATTTCCAACTGATGTTATTCAAACGACTTTTAAGATTCCCAAAATCGGTTCAGGATATTTTGCGGTAACGCGGAATTTTTATTTCTCGGTAACGCAACATTTCAAGTAGTGCGGAATTTTAATTCATATCGACTATAAACATAGTGAATGAAAATCAAGTAAAACGTCACTTGTTTAGAAAAAATCGGAATAGAAAAGCGCAATATTCGGACTACTTCAATTCTTGTGGTCAGTTATTTATTCACTTCCCGTAGGGTATGTTATAGTAATAGCAAAACATTGAAAATGAATTTTTTTTCCATATCTTGACGTTAAGGTTTCTGAACACTGAAAAAATGTGTGTGTGTGTGTGTGCGGATACAACTTTTCCACGACCATTTCAGGAACACTGTTCAACCAATTTCAATTATCCATAAACATTCGATTTCTATTGATACGGAGACGCACTGATTAGTTTTTGGCAAAGGCTAGTCCAGCAGTTTCGGAGATACGGGGCAAAAAGTGCAAAAAATGGTGAATCAGTTTTTGAGGTAACGGCGAGCGCCCGATTTGAATGATTCAAAAAACATTTTACTTGTTTTAAAGGAATGAAAAATTGATTAAATTTTTGGAAAGGCAACGGCTAGCGGTTTCGGAGATACAGAGAAAAAAGTCAAAAATGATTATTAGACGTACCAAGATTTTTAATTTTTATTAAACGATTTAAACTTATACGATTCAAACAAATTTCAAAATTTTCAGATTTTTTTCAGTTTTCAAAAATATACATAGTTTTGTACTTTACACATAAATTTTTAATTTACAATTCATTTTCAAACTATATATTTCATATGCGTTATTCAACTCGTAAGGGGCGTCCATTAATCACGTGAGGTTATTAGTGGAAGGGGGGGATTTGACAAAATCACGAAATATCACGTGGGGGAGGGAGGGTATAGTATAAGATATCACGTGTATTTATTTTTCTCTTGAATTTTTCAAAAAAATCTAAATATTTTCTTAAAAAAACACAATTTTTTCTCGTAACTAAACATGCACGTGATGTTTGTCGGGGGAGGCGGGATAATTTTTAATATCATCAAGTAACACCTGGGTGGAGGGGGGATCCAAAAACCCTTAAAAAGTCAATCATGTGATTAATGGCGCCCTCTAAGAAATATATCTTCAGATGGATTCATTCGGCTTCTCTTTAATGTAAACATTTTCAAGCGTTTTGAGCGCTAAGATCGTCACTGTATATTATATGAACGAATAAATATATATAGTAATTATAATTATACCTTTGAAAATATTTAAAAAAATTGTTATTAATCATTAATCAATATTTGTTGATTATTATTTTTTTGCTCAAATATTTAATTTTGGTACGGAAAGTTTCAGCAATTTGCCTTAAGGCACGATGCCATGCACATTTTTTTTGTAATTGCTTGTTTTTATGTTTAGTCTATGATTGCATCTTTGGTATTCTAGCTGTAGGTCATTATAGTTATTCCTAAGCTATTTTACCAAAATTGCAAATGTAGATATTGCATCTTGACCTATATCGACTTTTATAGTTTTCATATTAATATCTTTTGATATATCTTACATTTCAAATTTTTTCCAGAGTTGCCATGGGACCAACCAAAATCTACATGTCCTGAATTTTCTGCATGGGAAAGAAATTCTTATACTTCGCTAACGCCCTGGACCAAGTTTAATAATTAACTTCCCGTAGGGTAAGTTATAGTAATCGCAAAAAAATCGAAAATGAAAATTTTTGCATTTCTCGACGTTTCAAAACCTTCTGAACATTTTGGCATACCTTAGAAAAAATGGATGTATGTGTGTGTGTGTGTGTGTGTGTGTGTATGTATGTATGTATGTATGTATGTATGTATGTATGTGTGTGTATGTATGTGCGGATACAAATTTTCGTCGACGATTTCGGGAACACGGATCAACCGATTTGAATAATTCAAAAAACATTCGATTTGTATTGATAAGGAGACGTGCTGATTAGTTTTTGGCAAAGGCAGGTCTAGCCGTTCCGAAGATACGGGGCAAAAAGTGATAAGAACGGTACCTCCGTTTTTAAGAGAACGGAGCGTCCGATTTGAATAATTCAAAAAACATTTTACTTGTATTGACAAGATGTAGAATTGATCATTTTCATGGAGGTAGGTCTAGCGGTTTCGGAGATCTAATGAAAAAAGTAAAAAATAATGCCGTTCGGCGGTTAAAAATTATCATTAGACATATGCACATCAAATTATCAGATATTTTATAGAGATTTTAACAATAAGTATATTTTTTTTTTACATTTTTATGGGTTCCGTACCAATGCTTATGCGTTAGACGGCGGCGCGGCACATGCGCGCTTTGACATTTCGTCTCTAAGCAGTTCAAGCAGTGCGATTGCTTTGAAAAAAAGTTCAGAATTTCCAAAATATGTCAAAATAAAGAAAACATTTTTTTCAAAAAAATTTTTTGTATCCAAAAAAAAAATTTTTTTCAAAAAAAAATATTTTTTTTCATATAAATTTTTTTTTTCAAAAAAAAGTAATTTTTTGTCAAATTTGTAGTTTCTCAAATCTATTTTTTTTTAATTAAAATTTTTTTCAAAAATGTTAATCGTTTTTAAAAAAATATAATAATTTTTGGTACGGGAAGTTCCAGCAATTTGCCTTAAGGCACGATGCCCTAATTGCCTTAAGACAGAATTCCACTTACAGCTAGTTTGGTTTTGTCTTTGCTGAGAAAAATATTGCAACCTAATCCAGATAAAAGAATTAACATAGAAAATTTAAGAAAACATAGATAGTGCACAATGAAACTAATTACTGAAGGTAAGTTATATATTCTTATATATCCTGAATAACATTTTGATTATATAGATTATTGCATAAATTAAATTTCTCATATGGCACAATTTATTGGTTGATTAAATACTATAGGTCATTGATCAATATTTAGTGATTATTATTATTTTTTTTGCTCGCATATTTAATTCTGGTACGGGAAATTTCAGCAATTTGCCTTAAGGCACGAGCCATGCACTACTAGTTTATTATAAAATTATAAGACAACCATGCATATATGATGATCATTGAAAATAGTCATCATATTACTTGCAAACTATAGTTTGCATACATATATGTATATAGCTATATTATGTATGTGTTAACTATATTATACATATAATATTTGCCATAGTGATGCGAATTGAAAGAATGATGCAGTCAGCAGAATTTTTGCCCCGTCCTCGGCAGAACTACTTCGACCCGCAGCAGACGCATCATATCAGTTGGACGACCGCACTCGCTAGAGCGACGTCGACCTGAAAGGGTTCAAATCAAATATAACAAAAGTTCCGTTAGTGTTATACAAATATTATAGTATCTGAAATATTATTGTTTCAATTGTGCTAAAAACGATTTTGTGAAATAGTTTTATGTGATTGTGACGGAAATTTCTTTTATTGCATCAAATAACGGTAATTATACATTTTTCTAATTACTTTTATATCATACTAATTGGATGCAATATTATAAGTAAACTAGTGGACTAAAATGCCAAAATACGGTAATTCAGTTGCATCGTGCATGGTGCATTAAGGCAAATTGCTGGAACTTCCCATATCAAACATTAAATTTTTTAAAACAGATTCAATTTTATTACAGAACTCTGAAAAAAATCTGTTTTCGGGATTTTCAAAATTTTTGAAAACAATTGATCTTTTTGAAAAACTTAATTTTTTTATAATTTGAAATAATAGGTTATCAAATATCTCCCTTCCGCCTTTTTGTATTATAAACCAAGAGCAAAAAAGCGGAAGGGAGATATTTGACAACCTAATATTTTGGAAATTTTAAACTGTTTTTTCAAGCACTTTTTGCCCCGTATCTTTAGAACGGCTAGACCTACCTCTGCCAAAAACTAATCAGCACGTTTCCTTATCAATAGGAATCAAATGCTTTTTAAATTATTCAAATCAGATGATTTCTGTTCCCGAAATCGTCGACGAAAATTTGTATCCGCACACGCACACACACATACATCATTTTTTCTAAGATATGCCAAAATATTCAGGAACCTTTAAAACGTAAAGATATATACAAATTTTCATTTTCGATTTTTTGCGATTACTGTAACTACCCTACGGAAAGTTAATTTATCTTTTTTAGCATATTTTGCATATTATTTCTATTTTCTTTAAATGCTTTTTTAGTATAATTATAGTTTGCGAAGTAATTTAAAATAATGGCATGAAACACCACTCACTACATTTATTGATTATTTCTTTTGTACAGTTCAATTAATAAATTTCTGATTCTGACTTATACAGTCAGTATATTACTATTTGATACAGAATAATGAAAATATTGATATGTGAAATAATTAAATTTTCATTGTTTTCATAAGTTACACGTGTATACTTGCTTTAAATTTTTTGAAATTTTATACTTTGATTTTATTTATATTCTAAAATATTACTATTTCGTCAATGTTACTTTTGAAAAATTAAAATCTACAAAATTATTCAAGTTTTCACATGAAATCTATGATGATCGTAATGTATTTTGTTTGAAAAAATCAGATTTTTACTCGACCTTTCGTATTTATGTTTATAATGCGTTATAACTGTAACTCAGTATTTTGGTCATTCAAAACAAAAATCAATATTTCACAACATATATAAACTTTCTAATTAACCGGTATATTGCAATACGCCTTTTTCATTTTGTTCTAATGTCAAGGTTGATCTGAAATTCAGACGTTCGAATTAAATCATTTGTAATGAAATCATATATTATTTACAACACTCCAATAATAAATTTCATCGTATTTTAGATTTTTAAGAATATAATAAAAATATCGTAAACATTTTGTTGTTCCACGTGCTTCATGCAAAATTTTTCTAGTGTTTTTCCAATTGGAAATGAAATCAGATTCCAATTGTAATTTGTATAGATATAAATGTGCAAATACACAAAACTATTAAAGATTTATTACTTTATTGTAATTTTGCACATATGTTTTTGCTAATTGATACAGCCACCACGTGTTTACAGTTTCCATAATATTTTGATGCAATACATTGATATTGCATATAATTTGTATAAAATTAAGTATTTTCCATTGATGACAAATAATTATATTTATGTTATTTTCTTTGAAGCAATATAATACTAGACTCGTGTCGAATTTTTAGATTACGTTGTTATAATTTCTGATTGCATTTGTCGACATCGTATAATCTATGGCATTCAGCTTTTTTCCGATGATGACCTTTGTATTACAAGAAGAAAATAATAAATTTTATCATATAATTTAAGATCTACTACTATTTTATGTTCATGAACAGATTTTCTATCAGTAATCGAATAAATTGCTTTTAATGTTACTAAACAGGAACATTACTTCCAAATTAAGTTCATCTTGATAAAATGCATATATCTTTTTAAATCATCTTGAAGTTTTACTACAAAACTTTAAAACTATTTTAAAGTTTTAAATTCACATTATCAATTTTTTAAAGGTGATTAGTTAAGTTTTTTTCATAGTTTTGTATTTTATTTTAGAATTATTTTAATGGTTTAGTAATCGCTCTGGATATGAGTCAAATAATAACTTAAAACGTCTACAGGATTAATATATTAAACTAGTGGTGCATAGCATCGTGCCTTAAGGCAAATTGCTGGAACTTCCCGTAGCAAAAAATAGGTTTTTTAAAACAAATTCATTTTTTTAGAACTGAAAAAAATCCATTTCTATCGCATTTTTTATTGTATCTCCGAAATCGTTAGACCTGCCTTCCCAAAAATTCCTCAGTTCTTCATTTCGTCAATACAAATAAAAACTTTTTTGAAACATTCAAATCGGTTCCCTCAAAAATTGTATTACGGTTTTTGGCACTTTTTGCCCTGTACCTTCGATACGGCTGAACTTGCCTTTGCCAAAAACGAATCAGCAGTCTCCTTATCAAGAAGAATCGAATGTTTTTTGAATCATTCAAACTGGTTGATCCGTGTTCTCGAAATCGTTGACGAAAAATTGTATCCGCACATACACACGCACACACACTCACACACATACCAAAATGTTCAGAAACCTTTGAAACGTAAAGAAAAATAAAAGTTTTCCGATTTTTTGCGATTACTATAACTTACCCTACGGGAAGTTAAGAAAAAGACATCTAATATAGTTTTTTTCTTTAAATGATCTATTTTATAACTATTTGTTTATGTTATATTTTTTTACTATTTGCTCTGAAGATGAGTCAAATAAAGTCTAGAAACGCCTGGAAGATTTTTTTATAATTTTCGAACTATTTTTTCGCACAGATAATTTTTGTTTAGATTAGTGTTTAGCTATATATTTTAGCTAACATTTTTTTTATTAAAAGAAATATCTAGTTTCATTACCGTTTTTTTCGAGACCCCAATACCAGTTCGTTCCTATTTCATTCAACTTCATTCATAGCGGTATCTAGATAGTTGCCAAAACATGTCTCAATAAACTTGTTATGAAATTATTGTCCAACCAACATGTTAGGTATTGTAAAATCTTGTTCTTGCAAACAAAATAATTGATGAAATATTCAAAGATCACAATGATACATTTAAGGACCTAGAATTGATGAGATATTTGAAGAATTGCAATGATACATTTGAACGGTTCATACTTTGAAACAAAACCAATATACCAATATTTTTATTTTTAAATAACACTGATCAAGGTTAGCTCTTGGTACTTCTTTTATTTTAAAACTTTTACCAAAGTTGTTAAATCTATTTATTTTATTTATTATAAAATGGTTTATATTAAGTTTCACCCGATCTCATAAAAAATTATAAATAATTTATAATTTTGCATTTCATTTGATTCAATTAATATTAATATAAATACTATAATAATAAAATTAACTAATAAAATAATCTATTACATTAGTGTTTGAATAATTTTCTTCGAGTTCAACGCGGAAGATCTTACGTCTAAGACTCAAAGTTGTGCGTTAAGTTTTTGCTAATGTAAAAATAATAAAATTCTATTAATAAATTATCTTGTTAGAAAAGATTCAAGGAAATTATATAATATTTTCAACATTTTATACTTCACAGATGACTAGTTCTAGCAGTCACTAGTACAGTGATGTTCAATTGACATTTATTTGCTTGCTAAATTGTTAATAATGTAAGAGAATGGATTTTTTTTATAAAATATTTTGAGACAAAATTTTTATATTTGATTGGAAAAGTATTATTCATATCTCACAGTATTAAATTCATTTAGTAATTAAATGATTGATTCAAAATTGCTTGCTTTGGATTTCACCTGTATAAGGCTTACCAAGGAATTATGATGTGCCTATATAAACTCTCACTAAATGCCACTAAATGATTAAAATCAGGAATTTGCTAAAACGTGCAAATATGATTTAATTTAATATCTTTGCGTAATACATAATCAATAAAATTATTGAAATCAATAACATATATATAAAGTTTCAAAGGTTACAAGTTTTTCTTCATAATTCGCGTTGACGACCTATGCATAGATTACGGTTGTAGTTTTGTTGATCTACTTTTAATTACATTTGTATATGTATTTTTAATTATTTCATATATCATTAAATATAAATAATAAATATATTATAGTAGTTAATTAATTTTTTCAACACACCTAGTACATTTTAAATATTTGATATCAATAACAAACACGCCTTGGCGACTCAATAATAATATTATTGTGAACTAAAAGTAATTTTAATTAAAAGTATATGAACATTTTGCAACAACCAATAAAATGAAGATTATTATGAGATGTTTGTTAAGAGAATTTTTTAGGATGTATGTGATTATAAAAATATAGTGATATTGTAGAAATAAATGGAAAATATTGCAAAAAACGACATGTCATTGTTTGACTTTGAAAATATTTGAGATATTGTTTAGCATCGAAAACAAATGAAAACTGTCACCAGCCAAAAATTTGAATTTACTTATAAGGCTAGACAATATTAGAATATGTATAATAAATCCATGATTATGAACAAGAAAAATGAAACGTCTACATTATTATTCCCAAAAGGCAGCTGAGATGTGCCAGAAATTAAAATAATATAAGATGCAGTATATGTATGGCAGATTGTATGATACACATATGAACAAAATTTGACAAATTAATTCACTTAAAATATGAAATTATGTAATAATCAGGGCCGGTCCTACCTTGTATTTGAATGCAACGCATGCGAAAAATACGAGCGCACGCGTTAGGGGGCGCAAACACAAGATTTGGATATGAAATTTTAAATATAGTTTTGTTTCATTATAATTCAAGAAATATATAATTTCTTTGCATCTTTATATATATATATATATATGTATATATATGTATATATGTATAATTGTCTATATAAATATAAGTCATCATTGTGGGCGTTTGCTTTTGGCAGTATAATTGGCAAATACACAACATACTATTTATAAGAGAGGAATTTATCTTAACACATTCTTCGCAGATTTCAAACCATTTGTTTGATATAAATGCCATATTGATATATAATGCACATCAAATTATCAAATATTTTATGGAGATTTTGATAATGTGTATCAATTTTGTTTACATTTCTATGGGTTTGGTAACATCGTGTGTCCGCTAGACAGCGACGGGGCGCTTACGCGCTTCGAAATTGCGTCTTTATGCAGCTCAAGCAGTGCGATTGCTTTGAAAAAAGTTCAAAATTTCCAAAATATTTCAAACACAAACAAACATTTTTTCCAAAAGTTTTTTTTCCAAAAAAGTATTTTTTCTCAAAAATTTAAAATTTCTCAAAATTCTAATTTTTTCAAAGTTTAAAACATATTTAATCTTTTTTTAAAAATTTAATTTCCGATACGAGAAGTACCAGCAATTTGCCTTAAGGCACGATGCCATACACCACTAGTTTATGATATAATTTTTTGGTATGGCAGTAGATAACAATAGAATAAATAACAATTCTAAACACATAATAAGTCATCATAAAATATCCCAGTCAGCACTAAAAAAATATATTAAAAAATTGCGCCTTTACTCCCGTGTCCCATGTAAAAACAATGCGGCCACCTGCCGCTTAACCTGCACCTACGCCTTGTTTAAGGTTTGGTGTCAATTTGGCGTACCGGTTTTAGGCTAGATGCATATGGGCTGAAAACGGTTGGCGCCATATGTTTTAATATCTATGTGCTAAATGCTTAGATCTATTAACAAAAATATGTTAGTCGATTCTTTAAGTAGCCGTTAAATAATATGGTTTGGAATGCGTTTGTTTGTTTTGACAAAATATTTACATGAAAAGTGAGTTCAAAATGTAATTAACGAGCTAAGTTTAACTGAGACTGTTTATAAATTAGCTTAAAATATTTAAATGGTTTTTAATGTATTTCAGTAATATAATAGATAAAATAAATCCAAAATGATTGCCACTAGGATTTTTAGTTAAATTATGTTTACCCTGTTCAAACTTTATATCTAATGAATTTTTGTCTATTGCAGATGCCTGGTCAGCGCTAATAGTGTCATCTGGACGTTAAATTATAAAAGTGTTTTAAAAACATAACTAACTTTAGTATATGTATTTAATAAAGTAATTGTTATAGTGAAATAAATTTATCAAAAATGGAAGAAACCAAACATCGAGCCATTTTATTGAACGTGCCAAAAACAAAACCTATAGACATCGACTTTCAGAACATTACCTACACAGTGAAGCTTAAGAAAGGTCAGTAAATATCGATTTTTATGACGTGCTGATGTTTTTTACATTTTATGATCATTTTGTACAATCGTACTGTAAATTGCTTTTTTCATATTATGATGGTACCTACACAAAAAGAGCTAAATGAAGTTTCTCTTAAAGATTTTTAATAATGTTTCAGGAAACAATTAGAGGCCTGGATATATATATATATATATATATATATATATATATATGAATATTGATATGTTATTTATATCATGAGCACTTCTAATGGCTTCTTAATAAGTAGATACCGATATAAATTATTCAAATTATTTTTCTATTAACTGGTTCGTACCAGCAACAAGTTTATTTGTCTTATTTCTATACAAGGTAAGACAAACCACTTTTTCTGAAACCTTACAGAATTTCAAGTTCGTCCTTTGGAAAATCTCATAATTAGCTTACGCCGGATTTGGATTATTGATAAATTGATTCAAGTAATTTTTTAAGTAAATTCCGGAAGCATTAGTTTAATTTAATTATTTTCAGTTCGCCTTGGTTCGCAGACCATATATTTGTGTTTATTATTTACAAATATATTTTGTTCTTCTTGAAATTCCATGTTGTTAGTATAGTATCTGAATTTTAATCGGTTGGAAATTTTAATGGGTAACACATGCACACAGAAGTTTCCATAAATATTTACAGTCTGGTTTATTGATTTCGTGATGATTCTTATTTTGCATTTTTATAAAGTGATTTGTATTTAATGTCGGGTAATTTGTTATTTGCCACATATATAATGAAAAGGAAATAGAGAATCGCGAAAAAATGACTATTTTTAATGTAACTCTGGTTGTATTTTTTTCAGTCTACTATTTTATCTATTTAGAAAAAAATTATATATGAAATATCGTATGGTTTGCTGAATCTAGGTAGAGGAAAATATTAACAAAAATTATTATCGAAAACAAAGAAATACATTTATTATCGAAAACAAATACAATGATTTCTTAATATTTCTGAAACAATATGTTTATTTATTTAATAGTCTATCAATAATAAATTATATTTAGTATCCGTTCGTTGATCTTGGCCCAGTTTTGCTATCTAGTCTCCAAGTCGCATTGTATTTAGAGGAAGTGATTTAATTAAAACTACATAAACAAGGACACTTGACTCTATCTAAACGATATTAATAACAGGCGATAAAATTGGTAATTTATATAAAATACTTATCATCCATTTGAATAATTAGAGAATATAATTCGAAATAAAATTGGAGTCAAGTTGGTGTGGCGAAATTTATATGAGATTTAGCAGCTAGAAAAAAGCAAAGGAAAGTAAAAGATGATTTATTGACATGCTCTGTCGAGCACATCGATTTTTGCTCAAAAATTTAATTAAAGTATTAAATATTAATATGATTAATAAAATATGATATTTTGCTTAATTTATGACTGTAGAAATAGTTTTCATATTGCACCAATAATATTATATATAATGACTCTTTTATAATTGAAAATTATATAAACAATCAAAGCATCTAATAGGCAGAATTATATAATCTGCAAAGCAAAATTAAACAGTAAACTAGTGGTACATCGTTCGTTTTTGAATCATTCAAATCGGATGCTTTTTTCTCTCAAAAACTGCAATTTTTTACACATTTTTTCCCAAAAACTAATCACCACTTCTCCCAATCGTTACAAATTGAATGTTTTTGGGATCATTCAAATCGGATGCTCCGTTCTCTCAAAAACTCGATTTCTATTTTCTGCACTCTCTGCTCCGTATCTCCGTAACGGCTAGACCTTCCTTTGCCAAAAACAAATCAGCTCTTCTCCCTATCGATAGGAATCGAATGTTTTTTGAATCAATCAAATCGGTTGATCCGTGAACCCGAAATTTAGAACAGAAAAATGCGGACACACAGAACACTTCTGATGCCAAAATGTTCAGAAACGTGAAGGTATGCAAATATTTTCATTTTAGATTTTTGGTCCATTACTATAACTTACCTTACGATAAGTTAATAAATAATATAATTTTTTTTAATAAAAAAAAGAAAATGAAATAGTAATTGCAAGTAATTGCTTTCCAATTAACTATATAATATGATATTTTATTTTGTTTCATTTTTGCATAATAATCCGGTAAAGTACAATCGTACACATGTTTATTTCTTAGAAGATAAAATCACATTATGTAATTAGTTATGATTTCATTGTGCACGACTTTTGTGTACAAGTTATTAATAGACAAGAAGTTAATAATGAGTAATCATTTAAAATATTTCTCATACATTTCTATATGTTATGACCAATATATCATTTTATTTATCTAAATTGCTCTATTATTGTGAAATGTAAAAACCCAATTTATAGATTCAGAAAAGTTTCTTGATACCAAGCGGTAGTGATATAAGATTTTACTTGAAAATATAGATCTAAACCAGAAAGTAGATATACGACTACTGTGCAACCCAGTCTTCACTAATTAATACTAGGCAAATAATTTAGCCCTGATTGTTGATCCAAAATATATTTGGTTGTGTGTTTTATTACACCTGCATTGAATTTGATTAATTTTATTTGAGTTGATAAGAGTAAGCAATTTGTCAGAAGTTTTATATATGTTTATAACAGAATTTAAATTATATTTAGGCTCTATTTTGTCAGGGTGCTCAACATTTCTCAATCGTTAGACCATTGATGTTGAAGTAAATTTTATTAATAATTTCAATTATTATTGGATAAACTTTTCCACATTATCCACCCAATCAAAGGATTCTTATATTTTGTTCTCTAATTACTTGATGGCACTTATAAAGAAAAGTTCATATGCAGTTCATGCAATTCAAATAAACAAGTTGCATAATTTGTAATATTTATTTCTCTTTATTGAATTACAATCTGTCTTTACAAAAAGGAAGACATTCAGTAATTTCGATGATATATGAAATATTAAACCTTAGATCTAAAAGGTTACCCAGTAGTAAGCCTTTTCAATTTTGATATATTGAATTTAGATATTGTGATTATATAGAGTAAACTTAGAAATAAAATGATCTATAGGGTAAATAAGAATAATTTGTGAATTATAATAATTTGTAATATAACAGTAATTATATGTATATCCAAAATTTAAGATAATATGTACATCTAATATTTCATATCGAACTACTAGACATTTATTAGAAAGGCATTTAAACGAAAGTTTCGGCGTCTTGGGTCATTTATCTCACGATCTTTCGGCCGGCGAGAAACTTGCGATATATGGAAATTTTGAAGGCCAGGGGCGACCCGAAGACACGGTTTCATACAAACAAATATTTTAGTAGCGCAGATCATTGTTTTAGAATAATTCTGTTATCTGGCGCCACATTAACCCACAACAAATTTTGCATATTCAAAGGATTTTTTCTATTTTGTTATTTACGGTTTTAGGACGGTAACTCTTTCTGCAAAAAATAATTATCCATATCATAGGTTTCCAAACACTTTATGGTGCCAAAAACCCCTTACGACGTTTTTCGCTTTAGGTAGACCTAATACTTAGGTGGTATTGAATTTTTTGTATCAATATGTATAAATCCTCTACTGAGGATCTAATCAGTGTATGGTTTGATTATAACACGAATTTATTAATTGCATTTATAACAACAAAATTAAAACTTCCCGGTATGTGTAAATAATCGACTTAATCAATTAAAAATAAATTAATTTATGAGAGATTAAAAGTATTTCGAGTCGATTTATTACACATCATTGAAAACGAACGAACACATTAACTCGGAGTGTTTTTAAAAGGTAATTTTCACAAGTAAATAATTTTTATAATTGAATTAGCTTCCATAGGATTTTAATGGTTTAGTATGTTCATTAAGACCAAGTACTCTATTGCTGTGCCAAGTAAATCGTCCAATTTTAATTTTAACAAAACGCCAAAAAAACTACTCATTTTCTCAAACTTTGATAAATTTTGAAAATTTGTCGTAAGGCCGTAATTTTTCATATTTCAGTATTTGTCGAAACTTGTCGTAAGGCCATAATATTTTAGTAAGTTCTATAAGACCATGATATACATCGCCAAATAAAAAGTTCCATGAAAATCGACTTAATTTTTTTTTCAACAGTTAATTAAAAGAAAACGGCTCAGTAGATTTTCACCTAAAACTGATCAATATCATTCCCAACTAATATCTTTCGAACAGTTTTTGATTTTTTAAAATCGATTCGGTAGTATGAGCTTAAATGTGGACAAAATGTTTAACACTATTTTCCAAATTACAAAGAACTGCTTGGCAGATCGTCGCACAAAACTGGCAAACGATAACCCTCATCGAGATACATCAAATGGCTTTTAAATTTCTGAAATTGGTTCAGGCGTTTTTGAGCAAATGTCGATAAAAGGTCTAATTTTGACAAATGCGAAAAAACAAAACTAATTTTTGCGAACTTTGAAGAGTTTTTAAAATTAAACGACTTGTCGTAGAGCCGTAATGTTTTAGTATCATCTATAAGACTATGGTATCTACCGTCAAAAAAATCATAAAACGTTTATCGGTGAGTTCTTTTGGTGTTATGACTTTTTTCTTTCATGTTTTATGGGTAAGTTATCTATGATTTTATTTTCATGAAAACATCCCCAATTTTAGTTTTAAAATTTGAATTGAGAGTACTTAAATTTTGGACGTAGGATAAAATGTCGTCTTTTTGGAAGTCTTCTTTGACAAATTGAGAAACTAGAAACTCTAATATTTTAGTTTTTGAGTTTATCTTTGGGATGAAATGCTGATAATATCGACTGTTTTAGTTAAGGTTGGAGAGTAGCCTTACAATTAAAAGAAAATGTTGTCCTTCTTGTACTTTTATAAGATATTACCCACTGTCACAAATCAATTCCCATTTTCATCTCGGGGACCCTGACATAGTTTTTCAAGTTGACCCCTTGCAAATATTTTGTCATAGATGCCAGGTGGTCCATACGGACTGCTTTGGAAATCATTGATCTAAATTATGCTTTTATACACAAAC